AAGAAACAGGGCGAGGAACGTGAGCGGGGCCCGCGAGGCTCCGTGCACAGACACGAGACTGGGCTTCCCAAGGCGGGCGAGACCCGCCCAGGATTTCCGCGCCCAACAACACGGGATTTCCCCCCCAACCAGCCGCCCGGGCAAGCCGGGACCCGCGTCCCCGCACGACCCCGTCCCTCCAGCCGCCTCCAATTAAGGGTCGGTGGGTCGGAGGGTGGGTGGGCATCGGTGCCCTCTGGGTCTCCAGGATTCCTGGGTCCTTTTATGGAGGGGAGGGGGTCTTAAGAGAGGGAGCACTTTGTACTGAAAAGTCCTAGGCTCCGGGGTGGGGTGGGGGGAGCGAGAGGGTCAAAAGCGGGGTGTGTGTCTGTGTGCATGTGTGTGTGTGTGCATTGTGCGAACTGTCAGGATTGTGGGTTCGTCCCGGAGGTCACTGGGAAGGAATCTGGTGTTCTAGTTTTCTTGATTCTCGCAGAGGGGTCTAAATGGGCCGGAGGGGGTGGGATGGTGCTGGGGATAACCTCGATTCCCTAGGGGTGGGGAAAGGGTGATTTAATTCGATGGCATCTGGGACGTGGCTGTGGCCAAACTGCACAGTCCCAGGATGCCCCCCCCCAGAAGAAGGAAATGCTAGATCACTTCATGAATATTCATTCCCTAGCAAGAAAACTCTGAAAAGGGGCGCCATCGGTCAGAATGGACTTGAAGGCACATATTTATTTATTAATGTTGGCAGAGGTCCCCAGGGAGGGAAGTGTTGACAGTTTGGGATTGGGGTGCTGCCTGTGTTGTAGGGTAGCATTTTGGGGGCAAGGCAGTGTGGTTAGTAAAAGGATCTAGGAGTGCTGGATCAGAGGCTAGTTAGGGGAGGACATGAAGACGCCAGCTTTCTAGATTATGTCTGTGGGAGGAGATAATTGTGGAGACAGGATTAAAAAGGAACCTGGAGAGAGAGAGAGAGAGAGGAGGCACATTTGCAAGGGGAGAAGCAAGCAAGTGGTGGAGAAATAAGCTTTCCTACTGACATACTGTCACTCCTTGTGGAGTAAGAAAGAGTACACCCCCACCCCCCACAATTTACCATAGTGTACTTGTAATTCTTTTTAAAATTCCATCACTTTATGACATCACCTTGTAATATCAGTGGGTACGTTGCCCACCGTTAGCATGACGAGTTACCATTGTGACTGAAATAGGACTCAACTCAAAGTGCTGCTGGCACAATCCATCATCCATCCCCCCCAAGGACTCAATGTAATTCACTAAAGATGGAGTCAGGTCGTCCCACTAACTTGTTTTCCTGATATATTTTTTTCCTCCATAACCACCAGCCCTAGACTCCCAACTCTGCACTTCAAATAAAACCCAAATGGCTCATGATATCCACCAGCCTCCTTTCGCACCAAAACCAAGACTCTACATGAAAACAGAAAAGGGACATTCAGAATCAAAATCAGGAGGTAACTGGCAAATATAAGATATTGTGGAAGATATTCTGAACTCAATCCCCAACACCTCTGGAAATAAATCAAAATCTTCACCGACTGGGAGTCAAAACGATTTCAAGAAAACAGACAAACTAGCCAAAGTCAGATTATTGTAACTCAATGAGATACCATTTGAAAAAAAAAATACTTATTTCATATTTCATGGAGCCATTCCAACATTATAAAGAAATGTGTATGAAGAGGGGGAGGTTTTAGAAACAAGTGGGAAGCCAGAGGAATACTTCCAAAATTAAAAATATTATTTAAGCGCACAAGGCTTAAGTCCTCCAAATGTGAGATTTAAAGTACCACATATACCCATTATTTAGATATAAATATGCACATCTTCATAGTTACATCATAAATGGAATAAAATGGCAAAACTTCCCTTTTTGATATATGCAACTGAATTATAGTCACAGAATTATATCATCTAGGAAAACAACTGGGCCAGTACCTGCTCAGCTTCACCAGTGTGGCAGCACATATTTACTTCCGCCCTGCTCCCTCAAATAACTTCTGTGTTATTAACAGCAGACATGCATTGGAGGTACTACTGAATTTCTAGATATTAATTAAATAAGCATCAAGAAACTTGCCTCCACAGACCAGGAGGGGATTAAAAATAATTTCCCCATTACATTCAACAAAGTTAAAACTGGCTTTTCCTTTGTGCAATTGTGTGGTATCTTCTAGAGACAGACTATTATTATAGCAACAAGGGAACAATCAGAAACTGGGGTGGTGACTAGAAGCCGAAGCCTCTCTCCAATCAGGATAAAGCTGCCATTGCTGCTGAAACCAGAGGTAGAGATTGCAGGTTGGGACATCTACATGGAAGCAGGGAGACCAGGAGTGATCAATTCCTTCTGCAGTGGTGGCAGGGAGTGAAATTTTATTTTTTTACCCCTCCCTTGACCAGATATGAAATTCTTATATTCAGAGTGTAAGTGATCTGAGCCTTCCCAAAGCAACCCAGCAAGTATGCCAAATTTAGCACTTGCAGCAAATAACAGGAATTTTGCAGGCTGGCAACATGTTAACATTGGGTCAGAATTGTGAAAAAAGAAAGGAAACAGCTGCACTTAATCCTTTTCCCTGCTCCAAATTGCACCCTTCTCCCAACGGCTTCTCACAGGAGACGAGCCCCTCAGCATGGGTGATTTGGAAGAGAAAAACAACCTGTCTTGGAAAGTATTAAGCACAACGTGACCCCTTTACTCTGCCACTCAAAATGGTATCTTCTCAAATCTGTTAAGCACAACAAGAGCCCCAGAGTTTTGTGTGTAACATGTAGCTTTGCTCCTTAACTCTTGATGGGCATCAGACAAATGGAAGATTACAGCAGGACAGAGTTACACTGCCCTTACCAAGAAGAGGGTAGGTAATGTATGGTCATCTAGATCAGCCATTCTCAATTGGGGGGGCACATGGCCCCCCTGGGGGCCTCTGGCACATGTGAAGAGAGTTAGAGACAGGAAATGAGTCTCCACACACCACCTTATAATGTTCCTTCTGCAATTTATACAACCCTGAACTGCTCTATATTTATTTCATATTGTGTTTATGGCTGTGGCCAAGCAAAGGTTGAATATGGGTGCTCTAGATCAGAGGTTCTCAAACTTGGGTCCCCAGATGTTCTTGGACTGCAACTCCCAGAAACTCTGGCCAGCACAGCAAGTGGTGAAGGCTTCTGGGAATTGCAGTCCAAGATAATCTGGGGAGCCCAGTTTGAGAACCACTGCTCTAGATGATGATGGATTGCAAATCCCATGAGCCCCAGCTAGCACAGACAGTTTTGAGAGATGATAGTTGCAGTCCCACATCATCTGAAATGCTCAAGTTGCCAAATCTTGTACGAAGGGATGGCATTCCCTGTTTTAGGTCTGTCACAACCACTGCATAAAGACAACCAAATATGGTTGGAACTAAAGATTGGAACTAAAGATTGCATTATGGCTCCTTAAGGATGTCATCTTTACAATAGATTTGTTTGTCAATTCATATTTCTTCCATCTTTTTAGGATTGTAGTTAGAACATATAAAGTGTACTCGTAAGAAATGTAATGTTGATATAAATCAAATAAATAAATAAAATAACTGTTGAATGCCTGTAAAGAAAACAGACACTTCTCCCTGCCACCCCAGAGTTTTCTTTTAAAAATATTACATTCTCACAGTTCCTTCAAGAATACTTGCAAAAAAAAGCAGAATCATAGTGATTAGCCACAGGTCTTTATCAGTTTTCCCCACACCACCCTCACACCCGACATCTGGTTCAGTTTACCTGTCTTGGTGCAATGATGGTCATAATCGCTACCCACTAGGCCTTCACCAGATGAAGAGCAGGCAGAAGAGGAAGACGCGCAAGAAGCTGGTCGGCTAAGGTCCACCACAACTCCACTGGAAGGTGAGGCAGTGGGCTGGCTCCCTGGTGAAAACGGTTGATGGGCAGGACTTGGGGGTAGACCATTTTCCAGTAAAAATTCATCCAAGTCAACATACTCAATCTCATTATAGGGCAAGGTGCGCTCCCATAGGAGAGAGCCCAGGTACGCACAGTGCCCAGGTCGTGAAATGCTCAGGTCATCCTCCATCTTGCGTTCTTTGTCTTTGATAACACCTATTATGGGGCAGAAAGGGGGAGGTGGGGAGGAAAAACATTCGGTTAAGAAGCAGGATCCAACAAGAAGAGAGGCAGGAAGCTCAGTGGGTTGTCCGAGTCTCAGGCAGTGGTTCCCAACCTTGGATAACCCAGGTGTTCTTGGACCGCAATTCCCAAAACCCTTGTCCAGAACACTTAGTATAGGAACCAGTATGTAAAGAGCTATACTGAAAAAAATACTGTATTCTTTTTTAACCATTGGAAACGCTAAGATTCACTGCTTATCAAATGAGGGAGCTATAGGAAAACCATGTCAAAACAACATATTAATTGAGGGAATGAGCCTCCATAAGTCGTATTTGTTCCAAAGAGTATATGCTATTAAATTTAAATATTTATTTTATCGAACAATATAGTACACCTGCACCTGTGGATGTGGAGTGCTATAGAATTTTATAAGCCAATAAGGAGAAGTCTGTGCCCTAGACAGCTTACAATGAAGAATGGGACAGGTAAACGAGAGGAGAGGCAAAGATAAAAGATGAAGCAAATTTAGATTCTTTTGCAGATGGAAGGAAGCATGGAAAGCTTAAGCATAAAGATGAGTATAAAATGTCAATATTCTGTTATTTCTGCCAAAGGCAGATTTACTGGGTTTTGTCCATCCACTGTTCCTATTTATGCTTCTGTAATTTGACAGTCTGAATGAGATTTTCAAAATGTAAATACAAAACCCGTTTTCTTGCCAAAAGCAATTGCAGGTCTTGGTAGAGAAAGGGGGGTGCAGTTGGAGTCAAGATCTGTACAGAAAGTAGTATGCAGAAGATCGCAGGCTTCCACCAGAGACTCACCTATAAACATTGTTATGCTTAAACCCAGTGCTAACTGAACCAAAGAGATGGTTGAAAGTTCACCTCGAAGGAAGATGTGTAGATGACATAAAAACATACTTGGAGATAGTTCCATAAAGTGTAGAACACTTTGTCTAATTTGTCTAAAGTCAGGATTAAACCATCATACACTGTGCAGAAAGGAGTTTTGCAAATGGAACAACCAATGGATTCAACAATGGGGGTGGAAAGGTGCTTTACAGGTTGATGTCCAATTAATCACCATGGTCTTTTGTGCATAGCTGTCTAACTGTGAGCATGCAATAAACTCCAAACTCCCCTGGGGGGAGGGAGGATGGCACAAAATCTGGATGTGCAAACCGGAAACTGTCTTAACATTCTGACTTCTTTGCAAAGAAAAACCAAACAGCACTGGGCCTCTACTCTATTCCAGTTAGCTGTGCCACCCTGGCCTAGGAGACTCCCGGTCTCTCTGTGCCAAGCTGCACATGTGCAGCCCAATACTGTATCTGTGGGCCTTCCTTGTCCAACGCCTTGGCCTGGCCCCCAACTGTGTTATTTATGTAGCTGTTCCATGCATTTTTATAGCTGAAGGGCTCAAAGCAGTTAACGCTCATTTTGCTAAAATATGTACTCATGCTTCGGCACAGATCCAGCCTGTGGGCACAGGCTGGTTGTGTCTGTAGGATGGGTAGGTAACTAAGAAGGACAAACAGACAAGCAGAGGGGACGGATAGATTGTTATTAGAGAAATGTTTGGCATGGGGATGGTTACCTGGAAAAGTCAGAATCCAAATAGGCATCTTGGATGCTGCTAAAATCTGCCTAGGGAGCACATCCCTTTCTCTCTCCCTCTCGCTCTCGCTCTCTTCAGTCCTGGGAGGCTTGCTGTGTGCTTCCCTTCACCAGCAAAAACGTGAGCAGTTGCCTCACCCCAGCTGACCCCTGCACGAGTCTATGCTTGATTGGGTTCTCCGGCTCTCTCCCTCGGAGCCTTTTCATCCCATCTGCCTGCCTGCATCTATCACACCTTTGCCCCTGGTGGGGGTGGGCAACCACAGGGTCACCCTGCTAAGCGAGTGTGAGTGTGAGTGAGGGAGAAATCCTTTGATGCCGATAAAGGTTAGTTCCAAAAGGCATCTCCTTTGTAGGGGGCATTCCGAAGGTGTTTGATCTCTCACCCACCCACCCCTGGGTATATCATTTTGTTATACTCAACTACTTCCAGACGATCCAGGAGGAGTTCTGGGTCTGCTTAGGTCTCACTCACTAGCGCTCTCCTTTCTCAGTGTTTAAATGACTGAGCCCCCTTAACCCTTTATGATCCATTCCTGTGTCTAGAAGGCTGTATGGCATGCAAGCCTAATTCAGCTAAACTAGGGGACAGGGCTTATGAACTGAATTACTGGACTGAACCCCTGCCTCCTTTCCTGTGTGCTGGTAGTGTCCCTTCCATCTCCCATGTAAAGGAAGGAAAGAATCTTGTCTACAACCCAGGAGAGCATGTGCCAGTCAGAGCTGGCTGTATTGGGCTAGATGGAGCAGGGATCTGACTTGGTTTAAGACCTCTTCTTATGTTCTTCCAGGAGCCCCCATTCTAACCCCAGAACTTTCGCCCTCTTTCTAAGGTGCCCACAAGGTGCCCCACCTGCCAGCCTCCACAACTAGGCCTCTCTAGCCTTGACGGTGGCATTATTTACAGGCCAAGGCTCTTGGAGGTGCCCAACCCTTTGCACGAGGCTCAGGCAATGCTGGGAGTGGTGTGCCATACCTGAGTCCTGACTCTGTCTGGACACGTGGGAGCAAAGTTTGGGCCCAGCTGACAAGCTGTGGTGACACTAGCATGGCACCCCGAAACTGGGCGAGTCACTCACAACGCCCTATGGGCTAAATTCAATCTCTCTTTGGTTCTGATCTTGACTTGCCCCTATTCATTCTCAAACCACCCCCTTTCCCCAGAGTATGCCTTCCCCAAAAGTAGCTAACACATACACACACACAAACAAAACAGAACAAAAACCAGTGAATTCAGAGGACAGAGTATTTGGAACTGGCTGCTCTTGGCTCCATTGCTAACTCATAGGGGTATCCTTGGAGGAGTACTTAAGCCTTAGTTTTAAAATGGGAATAAAAATGGGAATAAAATGGGAATAAAAACAACTTGGTGTGTTGTGATGATAAAGGACATAATGGAGTGAGGACTGTTCTTGTGGATAAGTAACTACCAAGAAAAATGGCATGTGTACATACACACACAGAGGAAAATGTTGAAATTATATAAAATATGTAAACAATGATGCATATAAATTCCCTAGCTTTGCCTCCCAACTGTTAAATCACACTGACTCTTCACAAGCCTGGTGAAGCTTCTTTCGCCATCTCCTCATAGTCTATGGGGCGTCACTATTGTCCTGTCTCAATTAATCTTTGTCTGCCTCTCCTTCTCATGAAGCCCAATTTCATGCAAATGTAAAAAAAAAGTTAATTTGGAATCTGAAAATTTGCTTCCTAATCTGGTTTCATTACAGAGTCATCAAAGAAGCTAACATGTCTCAAGCCTCTGTTTTCCTTCTCTGCAAAATGGGAACAACAAACCTCAATTTTCCTGGAATTGCACTGTCTATATAGTATAATACGAAAGGACAACTCTACAAAGAAGTTTACCCTTAAAATGAACTCCACTGGATTTGATGGAACTGGCTTCTAAAGAAACATATGCAGGATCAAGTTGCACAGCAGAACAGGAATGAGACCAAAACAAAACAGAAAGTCCATGCATAGGAACCAAGGCAAAAGCTAGCTTCTTAGTGGCTGGAGTCATTAAATGCATATTCCCACTCCCCCTTGGTGTTTACTTTCTGTTCTAAAACCATTCACCTCTACAAGGAAAAACATAACTGCATTTGGGGGAGGGCAAAAGCCCGCACGAGTGCTCCCCCCCACCAAACAAACATTTCTCTGCGAGCCTGTAGAATGTCATGCACACTTGCAAGGCGAATATACACAATCCAAGCCCGGCTCAGGCATACAGTGAGCTCGGGGGGTGTGTGGATTAAATTAAATCCACACAATCAATAAAACAAAATTTTGAAAATTAAATTATCATTTAAAGGACAAACAGAAACTAAAACAAGTCAGGACCCGCATTGGATCAAGCCGTCCAAAATGCCCACAGTAAATGCAATTCCTTCCCCCCCCCCATCTCGACCTGGTTTACCAACCACCCGTCCCGAGGAGCTGCTCCTGGAAGGGGGGGGGTCTTCCCCTTATCAGTCATGGCAGAACGTGCCAAGGTACCCACCGTCGGCGTCGGTGCGTCCGCCTCCCATCCTGTGTGCCAGCCAGAAGCCAAATGCCAGCTTGTCGAGGACGCTGAGTTCTTCTCGCCACTCCTCTCACCCTTCCTCCTCCTGACCCTGGGCGGCACCTTGAATGCCCCTCTCTGCGAGGCACTTAGCGCCAGCGGGCACCCACCACCGTCTCCCTCTTCCTTGCCCTTCGTTCCCGCTCGTGCGAAAGGACTCGAGCGAGTGAGTGGCTTCCTGAGGGCGAAGCTAACCCGGGCAGCCCCAGCGCGCGCGCGCGCGCCCCCGCACGTTTCGCTCCCTCCTGCCGCGTCCCGTGGCCGGGCTGTGTGCAAGCTTTAAGGGATTTACTGCCGCTGCCAGCCAGCAGATGTAAGAGATTATCAGTGTGTGTGTGTGTGTGTGTGTGTGTGCGTGTGCGTGCGCGAGAGTGGATGTCGATGTGCGCGCGCATGTACAGAAAACGCCGCTCGGTGGATCACCCTGGAAAACCCTGATGAGTTGGCACCTCTCCAGCAGCGAGAAGGAAGGAACCCAGGAGTCCTGGCTCCCAGATCTAGACCCCCCCCCACTTCTCTCGCCTCCGAAAGATGCTTCCCCCCCTCATTCCTCTGGAGTTCTGCATCGCATTCTCTCTTATCTCAATCCCAACCAAAGCTACCGGACCTCTCACTTCCCCACCGAAGGCAGGAATCCTAGCCACGACATTTTCTGTGCGTTAGTACGGGGGGGGGGGGGGGCAAAATCATTTTCCTATCCTTCATAACTCACTTTTTCCCCCCACCACCGTCGCTACGTATAACCTAACAACGCTCCCCATCTGCTTTACCAAATGCGCCAAGAGACATACCAAGGCACTCACACACACACTTAAAAAAAACAGATCAAAGCCTCGTCAAGACAAGCTGAATTCTTAAACTAGAAATGTGAAGGAATTCGTGTAAAAAATAACCATAGCAGAAGCAACATTCTGGAAAATGCACATTTTCTACTGTAAAAAGTGGAGTGAGGTAGGTATTTGCCTTTGGAACTCGCTGCCACAGATCCTCAGGAGCCCCGACATCGGAATGCATTCTATCCCGGAGCCTGCCTCAACTGCACATCCTCCTGATCTTTTCAACCACAACTCCCATCATCCCTAGCCCCATTGGAGATAAGCTTTGTAGTCCACCAGAACGAGAACTTGGTACAGTAATTGCTGAAGTGTATCTCTTCAAATTCCTCAGGGAACATGGCCACTGACCATGCTGGCGGCTGGGGGAGGTGAGGGAGGCAGTTTTGGAAACTAAAAGCCAAAAGAGTAACTGTTCTAGGCGCTAAATTCTAGATGCCACCAAAGTGGGAAAGGATGGCAATCCTAAAGTGCTGCTTGATTCAGCGCACTACATCCTGTTCTCTCAGAGGCCTCTGACCTCCCTCTCCTCTGGCCCTCTCCTCTAAAAAACATCCCAGGCTTTACCCACAAACAATCTTTAGTGCCACCCCATTCAGAAGATAAAACATATACCAACTGGAAAGGCCTTAGACAGAGCTTGCAAAAGTCCCTTTTTTTAATTATGTCCTCCCAGGAATCTCATAGTCAGTGGATTCTGGGGATTCAGTGAAAAAATTAACATCGTTCAGCTCTGCCCAGGGCAGATTGCTGCAAATGAATCCTTAAATATTCCCAATTAAGCAAATGTATACTGCAGAACAAAAAGAAACAATATTTAGAATTAAAAGGTAAGCACTGCATGTTTTTTGGAAAGGTGAAGGCCACCTGAAATGGTGTCAATGTTCACTTTATTCATCCCTATTCCAAAATAGGGAAAATCCAACTAGAAAAAGGCAGAGGTGAGTGCAAGCTGAATGTCTAGATTTTGAGCCCATCCAGATGGAAATATACATAAATAGATAACATATCATTAGCAGCAAAGGTCCATTTGAGCAATGCTCTAGCAGGCCTTCAAGTGAAGTTGCCAACAGATAAATGGGGTAGTCTGCACAGGAAAAGTACTTTCCCCCAGCCTGGGAAGGTTCAGTTTTTGTACCACGACACCCAGAACATTTCCAACCTCATTGTTATGACAGATATCAGACAGACAGATAACATGGATGAGACCAGATGAAGAAGGGGTGGTGATGGGAGGAAAGGATGCAGATTGATCAACAGCCATGATGAGTTGGTTGGAGGAGCAGGGCTGGTGCACATTTTATTGATAACTGAGTTCACAAAAGCTGTCATCACACTAAATCTGCTTGCCGTTAAAGGAAACAGGCCTTTTTACAGCATAAAAATTGAATTCATGGGATGGCACAGCAAAGATAAGAAGGGGGCTTAAAATGCGGAATCTGCATGTATGCAACTAAAGTGATGTGCAGAACCCCTGAGCTCCAGGGCTCCCTGAATCATGACATTTGCTGCTTAATCCTGGGGGGCGCTGGCTCCCTCCCTCTTCTCTCAGCCTGATCTACCTTACAGGGTGAGTGTGAGAAGAAAGTGGAGGAGAGGAATATTGCACACCCTGCCTCCAACTCATTAGAGGAGACATATAAATAATCTAGCCATTTATCTAATTCACAGATTAGCAAACTGGCTGGACCTGGGTTCAAATTCTATACCTATCAAGTACAACAACAGCACCTTGGGTAAATCTCTCAGTTTCCCCATGGGAATATATAAGCAACCCTGTGGTTTCAAGGGCAAACATTAGTTTAAAAAAAAAAAACCTCCACAGTACTTTGAATTCTTGAAAAAGCAAGCTGGAAATGAATGGATAAACAGACAGACATTTAGTGATGAAGACAAACAGGCAAAGTGACGAATCGGGACGGGGTAAGGAGGGGGGGAGAGATCCACTCACATGAGCCCAGATCCTTGGCTCCCCGCCGTTCGGGACTCTTGACCGGTCCTTGCAGGAGATTCTTAAGACTAACCATCGCAGAACTGGGTCCGGTGAGTCCCGAAGGAGAAGACGAAAGCAGGGGACTCGGCGCGGGGTTGCTTTGGGCCGCCGGGCGGGCCATGGCGAAGGCAGCGGCGGCAGAAGCAAAATCCAGGTATCGGCCGATGAAATAAATGTCCTCTCCCCACCTCGCTGGTCGAGCAGGGGATATCAGTTTTGGGTTTCCCCCCCCCAAACCAATAAATAAGATCACAGAACGCAACAGAAGCTGGGACGAGACCCCAGGCGACCCAGCAAGATCCGCACCGATTAAATCGAGACGCTCACTAGGAAAAGATTTTAGGCTTTGCTTGTGATCTGTCGCTCTCTCCTTCCACCATCAGCCTCGGAATAAGCCTCCAGGGGGCAGGCGATGTTCTCCCCCCCCCACTTGGCCCGCTCCAAATTTAGCAACCAACCGGCTCTGAGGCTCTTCCCCTAAAAAGATTGGCAAGGCATCTTTCCTTGCGAGGGCTAGAAAACCCAAAGGAGTGGGCGAAGGAATTAAAATAATAACGAGCACCTTCGGTGCAAAGAGAGATTCCCGCAGGGAATGAATATAAGTACTGTATATATTTATTTATTCCATGTATTTCCAAGCCTAGAAGATCCAAAACGATACAATCGTCTCGGCAATGATTAAAGCCAGCGGTTCTTGGTGTTCCTAAGGCGATCTCCCACCCAGAGCAACAGGGGCGGCGGGAGGGGGGGAAAGGGGTGATGAGCCAGGCAGCAGATCCAAAGGACCACTGCCGCTGGATCGTTTATCTAAGGAACCTGCAGGGTCTCGAAGCACTTAGATGGAGATCGCTTGGCTTTTTTCCTCCAGCCAGATCTTGAAGGGTCTGGAAAAACGCGCCCAGGATCTTTAATGGGGAAAGACGCTGCCTTTCCTGCAATGAAATCCGAGTTCTAGGAATCCCGTTTTTCCTCTTCCCTTATAATATTAATAATCCAAAAATAGATCCTGTACAGTATGTTTCTTTGCAGATTCTCTCGAAATACGGGGCCCAAGAACCATTGCATTTAAATTATATAGCTATGAAAGATTTACTAAAACTCTTCTAATTATTTTCGCCTTTGCCACTTCGCAGCTGTCCTCAATCTCTCCCACCTCCAGCAACATTCCAAGTGGGCGGAGCCGAAGGCCTTAGGGTAGGCGGAACTTAGTATGCACGTCCCCGCCAATCGGCAGCTCGACAGCGTGAGATTTGCAAACACGGTCCCCCGCCACTCTTCTTGTTCTGTCATGTGCGCCTGCCATGGGGCAGGTGGGGCTCTGACCTAGATTTGGCCAATGGGAGCGGAGGGAATGGGAGGAGCCTGACCCATTTTTGGCCAATGAAGAGGCGGCAGGAGGGGGACGAGAGAGACGGTTCGGGTTTGGGAACACGTGGGCTGGCGCGTGTTGCTGGTGTTTTGATGAGGGCGCAGAACGAGGAGAAAGTTGGTACTTAAAGGGACAGCGACAAATAAATTGGAAAGGAGGCAGAGTTGGTGGCCATCATCCTTTCCCTGCCCAGTGTGGCCGATGGAACCAGGGACAGTCTAGGATTCGAGTATCCTGGGTTCAAATCCCTGCTCACCCTTGGAAACTCGGGGTGGTGATGCTGGTCGGTACTGATTAAAATACTCTTTAAATATCTCACATACCTTGAAAACCCAATTAGTGTAATGTAAAGAATCCACAGGTTCGGAACCTGGATGCTAACTTGCTACCTGCCTCTCTATAAAGTAAATATAGCATATAAAATATAGGCTGGTCAGAAAAGATAGCTTTTAGTAGCTGCCCCACATCCCTCCCAGCAACAATTTAGTTCACACACTGACAATATTAAAATGTGCAGAACTAAAGCAGGCTCTCTCTGGATTCACCATTAGGCAATGTTATAAAGACTTGTGCCCAGAGATGAGAATCCAGACAAGATCACTTTCTGATCTGAATATTGTAACACGAGGACCTGACAGGCTTCAGGTCATGCACTTCTGGATTTTATTTTTATATTCACGAGATGCAGTTTTTCCTCTTCCACTGCTGCCATGGGGGAAACATCCCATTTCTACCAAATGTTTTAATGTCTGCGACCCCACTCAAAGCTTGGTCTGGCAATCTGAGTCCCAAATAATGAGCAACAAAAAAGAAATAAATGTAATTTGGTTAGGTAAGTTACCAACTAATTTTTAAAAAAACAAGTAATTTTATTCCTGTGCCTTTTATTACATGTGCAGAAACTAATGAACTAAACATCTTACTGAAAAGAAGAAACCACCACTGGTTAATATTTTTTCATCAAGCTGTGGTTAAAAGCAACAGCTGCAGTGGCTGGTTTAAAACCCAGGAGCCGTTTTAGGGCTTAGAAACATCCATGCCCTTGCTTGCCATCCAGAGCATAAGACAGAACAGCAGAACCAAGGCAAATATTACAGAATTTTGAGATCAACCCAGTTGCTGGCAGTCATGCTTGTGGGGCAAAATGAGAAATTATGCAAGCAGTGCTGAGAGGGTGCTCTTCAGGTTAGAATATTTCACATACTGTACCTTGAAAATCCAGGGGCATTTTATCTGGAGCTCATGGCCTTCCAGATATTGTTGGACTGCAACTCCCATCAATCCTTGCCAATCTGAAGGAATATGGGATCTGTAGTCCAACAAACTCTGAAGGCCAACAAGTTGCTCGCTTCTGTTGAAGGCCTTTTGTGTAAGCTGTATTTCTCCACTCCTCAAGATGTTCTTTGTCCATCATTTTTATCATCATTCATCACCCCCACCTTATTCTTGCTCTTTTCCTAACTCCTCAGCATGTTGTACAAAATAAATTTCAAATTCCACATGGGCACACATTCCAAAGAACACAATCCAAATGATTTGTGCAATAAATATGGAGTGAAGCATATACACATTTCAACATCATTTATTTGATATGCAGAAGGTGGCATTTCTCTGATTGCATAAATGGTAATGACTGGTATTCAACTGGAAAGGCACCCAGTGCAACTCCTTCTGTGTAAATTTCAACTGCAAATCTCTCAAAATTAAGACGTCAACGTAAGCATTCACAGTCACATGTTGAGACACATAACAAATGTGGAACTATAAATGCCTACCCCAACTTCTTATTTTGTGGCAATGCACCAATGGAATTTATGCGAAAGGAGTGAAGTTGGCATATGGAAGTAACAGGATTCTGAGTAATACCTTTTTAAAGTGCAAAAAACAGAAATTAAGTGTATTGGCAGATACAATAGGAAGAAAATTGGATTTTTTGGAAAAAAAACAGTATTATTTTTAGCTCTTCTCTTCTACCTCTTGGAAATCCATTCTTCCTTCCCCAAAATGAGAACACGAGAGAGGAGAGGGAAACAGTAGATTTGAACCTACAGCCTTGCCCTCTTATATCTGCAAAGCGACTTTCATTCCCCCTGAATAAGCACAGCAAACCCCCTACATCTAGATTTAATATGTTTTCCAGATAATCTCCATCATTCCTATCTTTGAAAATTAATTTAGCAAATCTTCATTCTGTTTCTCTCTGCCCTGTAGGCAGCAAGAGCCCAATTTAATGGCTGGATTTGTTGTAAATTAGGTGGATGTTCTCCTTTCGTGGCATAGTCAGCTTAGCTGACAAGGGGGCTCGGTCCTGTCAGGAGAGGAAGAAGCCCACTGTCTGGGGCAGGGTCCATAATTAATTTCTGGATCTGAAAAAGACAGAGAGAGGAGGGACAGGATGAAATTGTCTTCAAGACATTGCCAATAAAGCTTTCCTTTAAGGGCTAGCCAGTGGCTGGATAGCTCGGAGGTTTGTGTTTGGTTGTGGAACTGGAGGGAGTTCAATTCCCCTTTGTGTCTCCTGAGAGAAGAGCCAGCCTGTGTGGCCTTGGGCAAGCTGCACAGTCCCAGGGCACCCCCCGAAGAAGGGATCAGTAAACAGCATATGAGTACTCTCTATCTAGATAACCCTGAAAAAGGATTGCTGTAAGTCAGAATTGACTTGGCACATGACTATTATTAAGGGCAGGCCCACTGTAATTTCTTTTGAGACTCACAGGCTCTCAAAGAACTGAATTTGAAACAGGGTTTGACAGCTATACCAAATTAGGCAACACCTGCAGGCTGCCCTCAGTCCTGTTTGAAACTTTTCATGGTGAGCTGGAAGTGAAGGACCAGAGCATACGTAGAGCTGACCTCTGTGGGCTATTTAACTTCTGTGGCCAAGATGGCTAGGGAATCTGGAGAGTTGTGGTCCAAAAAAGGTAACTTCCCCAAGATCAAGGGGGGGGGGGACATATTCTCACCCCTCCAGAATCAGGATCACTATATGGCAGGTCTTTGCTGTCTACCCCCCATCACCACACCGAGGGAGAACAGATGCTTTGATTCAGGGTTTTAGTTACAGAATTGGGACTTCTGGGTCGGTGTTACACTTTAGCTAGGACTGGGAGCATCTGAAGGGTTTCTACTCATACAAAAGGCGATAAACCTTAAATATATACAGCTTCATATGTTCATCCTTGTCCTGGATCGCCCTAGGCATTTAATTGTTTTCCTATTGCCAGGGGAAACATAAAGCATTTTTTTAAGACAGGCATTCATCCCTTTTTTCCCCATGTAAGCATTACTCTAGCATTATTTAAAAACCACCATTATCTTACCACAGCATCTTTCTACCCATAGTGAGGGTACACCACAGACCCTATCAGCCTCGGCTGTTCCACCAATGGTGAGGGTTGATGGGGCTTGTAGTTCCAAAATTTGGAAGGTCACATGTTCCTCATGCCAGGAGCTGCTATTTCTATATTTAATGTTTGCCTCCGGCAAGAAAAGTACATTCTTTCAAAAGGGTCTAGGGCAGTGGTTCCCAACCTTGGGTCTCCAGAGGTTCTTGGACTACAACTCCCAGAAATCCTGGCCAGCACAGCTCATGGTGAAGGCTTCTGGGACTTTTAGTCAAAGAATCTCTGGGAACCCAAGGTTGGGAACCACTGGTCTAGAATACCTCAAAAGATATGTATTGGCATAAACGTCTATAGACTGGGGCTCACCTCACCTGATGCACACAGTCTTATCTTTATTTGGTATGTTAATGGATTGTTATCTCTCTCATACACTCAGATGTGAGTACTGAGGGGGCATAGAAAGAAATTAAGAAATTAAATAGTGGGGTTGAAAGGTCACAATGTTAACTACTACTTTCTATGATACTTTTCAATAAACCCAAACAGAAAAGTAACTTTTTTTTGGATCACAGTTCCCAGAATGGGGTATTGGGGGAGCTTTAACCCCCCCCCAAAAAAGTAATTATACCAAACTTTGCTCAAGTGGGTTGTGAAAGAAACTCAGTGATACACAACCTCTTCCTAGCTTTGTGGTACTAACTGGACAGTCAGAATTGGGGAAAAGGCCCCCACATTCTTTTAATCCTGAATGACCAGAATCAAACTGGCTGACAGATTATAGCTGTGCAATCAATTCTACTTCTTATAACTTTAATATGATCACTTGTGCCCAGCAAGGAGCACATGTGCGGAACAAAAATGGAGGCCCTCCAACCCCACTTCTTGTCCCTGGAGACTTTTTATTTTGTGTCCAGTGAACATATTCAGTCCTCATTGGATTGTTCTCCAGCAGGAGAGTGAGCATCTTGCCTGATTCTCTGCCTTGAGGTGGTGGGTTTTTCCCACATATACTTCAGCCTTCCTTCATAATTTAACTCCATGAGAACTGGACAAAATATGAAACTGGGAATTAAGGAAATGCTCTCTTTGGGTTGAGGCAGGTCAGAAATCATAAAAGTTACTTTGTGGTAATGTAACTCCCAGAATTCCCTGGAGATTCTGGGAACTCTAGTCCAGAAAGGTAACTTCTCCAAGCTGTGCAGTAAACAGGGTTGTTATTCATGATCTTCAACCCATGTCCTACTTGGGCAAGGAATTCTGGAAAGCTTCTGCCCAACCCCATAGGTTATCTCTTGTGAGCCAGTCACATATCACAGTGAATTTATGGAAGAACTCTGTCCTGTGCCAGAAATAATCACGCCCTCTAAGAGCAAACTCAGCTAGTGTATGTCAAGAGGGTAGTGCTTTTATACAAACGAGGGCTTGGAGGATGAAGGAGGTGCCCATATGCACAGGAAAATTTTGAGGTTGGCAAAATTAGAAACAATAGTGGAGGGAAAATTAAGGGAAGGTGCCCACGCTCTCACCAGAGAACAATCCAAAGACAACTGAATATGTTCACTGGACACAAAACAAGACTCCCAGGGGCAGGAAATGGAAGAGAATGTTGTTGACTGGAACTCTGGACAGAAATATACTATGCTGCAACATTTTATTGCAGAACTGATTAATAAACTGATTGCTGATATATACTGCACAAGTTATTGTTCAATCATCCTGTGACTGGAGTGTCAGACTAAGATTATGAAGACTTGGGTTCAAATTCCCATTCACCTGTGAGGCTCATTTGCTGACCTTGGGCTTCTTTCTCACTCTATCCTACCCCATTAGTTGTTGCAAAAAAATAAAATCATTAATACACGATTTACATCTGAATCTTCTAATGCATTTATCCAGAACAGCATTCTCCGGATGCATAAACATGCAACGAAAATAATCCAAAAGCATCTAGAATTGTAAAAAGTGGGGAAAACTGAGTCAACTGATACCAACCTGAACACCTAGAAGGAGAGGAGAGAGTGGTAACAATCCTGTCCTGACATTAAAAGCATAATCCCAAGGACTCTTAATGTATAACTGGGATTTCCCTGAACTCACTGCAACCACTAAAGAAGGAGAAAGACAGTGGCCTCCCAGATATTCTTGGATAACAAGTCCCATGATTCCTTACCACTGGATAACCTGCCCGGGGCTGCTGGGAGTTGTTATCCAACAACTCATATTTTTCCGCCTCTCTGCACTTAACAGATCAGAGGATGAAGTAACCATGGGTACTGTTATCTTCATACACTTTAGAGCTTGTAAATATTACTTTTCTGGACTACTGTCCCCCAGCTGTAATCCATAAAAGTAATAGCTTCGTGCTTTGGTACTTCACCTGTAGTTGAGACCACTGGGGAGTGAACAATTATGACGGGTTTTCTCAGACAGGTGCCCTATTGGTGTCTATGAGTACAATTTCTAGCGATCCCCAGACAGACCAGTATTATAATTCCACACATCTAGAGGATGTCAGCCCGAAAAAAAGCTGGGCTGTGACAGAACTGTGGGTGAGGAGTATACAGGAATGTAAATAGCTGCGTTAGATGCAGTCAAGATCCTCGGTCCATGTGGCCCAGATGGACAAATCAGCTTGCCAGCAATGGCAGGATTCTGCCCTAGGCCTTCCTTGAGACACCTGATGGTCCCCCATCCAAATGTTAACCGGGCCAGACCCGACTCATCATCCAAAATCCAACAAGATCAAGCCTGCTTGGGTGTGTATGAGAGAAAGACAGAGAGAGCAAAGCAAGTGAAGATCATTCTCTTCAGGCAAGCCTTCCCTCAGTTTAAAATAGATGACTGTGCCTTAACTACTTTGAATGTGGTTTTGGTGTTGCTTTTGTTTACTGTCTTTTAGTGTAGAATGTGTTTGATCCTTTTAGCATTTGTATATTTACTGTTTTGAGCTTTAAATGTTGTCTTTTAATGATGTGATCCCCCTTGGATCCTTCTTAAGGAGAAAAGTCAGGTTAAAAACAAACGAGCAAATGATTACCTCTCGGAAACGGGGGTGAGCAGCATCCCTGACCAACTGCAGGATCAGACCCTCACTGGTCGTAAGGAAGGCCCCGCTCTGACGTAACCGGGAGAGGGCCACAATCCTGTCCACCTGACTGCAAGGAGGAGGCAAGAAAGAAGAGACACACACATGCAGCCTTTGAGGGATTAGAATACAAAGAGCTTCGTCCAGCGGTGTTAAGCTCCCAGCTTCTAGGCGTTGTAGTCCAGAAGAACTAACTGCCTGGCTAAGCTCCTGAGCACAGGCCTCTCCATGTCGCCCCGTCTCTTCCTCTCCCACAGCGCCCCCCCCAAAATCACCTGCGCGAAGAGCAGGCATCCGCCACAACGTGAACATCGAGACCTCGCTCCATGACGTCCAGCGCTGTGCTCTGCACCAAAAGAGGAAAAGGCATCTCGCTCAGGGCAAAGTATAAGGGGCCTCTGCACAGCCTTCATGCCCAGAACGCTGTATTCTCTACTCTGGCTGTCAGCAGCGGCTGCTGAGACATAATCCATACTGGTTGGGGATGATGGGAATCATAGTCTAATAGATCCCATGGGTATCAAGGTGGCGAGGGAAGACTCTTCTACGTCATTTGGCACTCTCATGAAGAGGGGGGGCTCTCCCTCCAGGATTTGAAACAGGGGAAACACAATTATCTTCATTGCATTCCCCCCCCTCAATTTGAAGGGGGGAAAAAGCAAAACAAGATCCTTTGTTTTCTGGGCCCTGAAGTGTTAAACTATTTACTAAGCTCATATATTGAGAACTTGACAGGGGAAACTATAATCATACAATAATCTTATTTTAACTGTGTTCATTTAATCACCGTGTTGGAGAAAAATAACCTTGGTTTTGATCGATTCCAAAATGAATAGAGCCAAAGTTTCTGATAAATGTACCGTGGGTGTTCTCTGAAGTACTACTAGGCCTGTCTCTTAGGGTTACCTGCACTAAGCAAGGCCCTGGACAAATCCAAAGCCCCCTCTATCTTGGTATCAGGTCTCCAACTCTACCACTGCCTCAGCTCACGGTCACCCGCCCAGAGGTAGGTTGCTGGCTCCGTACCATAATGCAGGCCTGTGTCTCAATCCCACACAAAAGGACAGATTTCAAGTTGGGAACGGCTGCCATCTCCTTCTCCACCTCTGGGATGAGCATGCTGAAGCAGGTCTTGGCATATTTAGGAAGCTCCTCTGCCCCCAGTTCTGGCACGGTTGGACCCAGGCCCTTCGGGTACTGTTCGGTCACTACAGTACGGATCTCAAGAGCCTTGGCGACCTGTGTGAGGACAGGAAAAAGCCTTGCGGAGGTCAGAATAAACAGGGCTGCTGGGTTCACCGTAAAAGGAAGTGGGCCTTCCCGTAAAAGGAAAACCAAGTTCAGAAAAGGTATTGTTTTGAGCGATCCTGGGAACAGCACTTCAAAAATGTCACTTTTCCCCCAAGCTCTGATCGTGCGTCCTGTTCAATATTTAAGTTGCATGCAATGCAAATTGTGGAAGCTGCAACAGCAGTCTGATGAGGGGGCCAGTCTTGTGCCTGGTTGCACAGAACAAGCAACTTGTTATTCTTGCTGCAGCAGTTTCTGCATCTGGAGCTGGGCTCATGAATAAAACAGAATACCTAACAGGATACAGTCCTCAAAGAGTTCCAGAAGCTGATATTACGCTGATCCCATGTGTCCACTTGGGAAATTGCAAGTGGATAAATTCAACATTTTTTTTACTGGGGGACATCAAAAGCTCTACAGCAGCAGCTTTGCAGTTATTTTAGGATTTATATATAATAAAGATGTTATTGCTAGCAGTACCATACCTTCATTTTATCTACCCTACTGGGTTTCTGAGACTGCAGATTTCTGGAGCATATACTAAAAGTGTCTGCTTAGTAGCACAATCAACTTCCAACAGTGAAGCCAATGGATGCATGAAAACCATACAGCACATATTGGCCAATACCTGTGACAAGAAGGACCCTTACTCTAGCAACACCTAGAGCGATTCTGGAACTAGCTTTAATGGCCTAGAAAGGTCTTCACCAATTTGATGCCTTCTTGATACGGTGCAGTAGAACTCCTGTTATCCCCAACCAGCAGAACCCTACTGGATGGGGACGATGGGGTTCTTAGTCCAGGCATCAGCTTGGGGAAGGTTGATCTAGAACACCTTCCCACCCACCCCACTTTTTAGGAATCAATAAAGACTAATTCATGGAATATCTTTTCTTGTCTGACCTCTCAATTTCCCTCATCTACTTCTCCAGGCAAATGAACCTGTCAACAACCACCCTGCACATTTTACCTTCAGCATCCGGGCTGCCACAGAGACAATCTGTGGGAAGTAGCTGATGTTGGGCCTGAATTTTTCTTGCATGTCACAAAGGAATAGGATACTGGTTTGGGGAGCCACCTTCCCAAGCCGTGTCACTGACATTTCCAAGCTGAAGCAAAATACAGACAGCAAAAAGAAATATCAGAACAGATTGCTATTGGATCTTCTGAATATAGGGATTTAAAAACAAAATTAAAGTACATTCACCTTTAGGTTGTGTCCGCTGAGAAGTAAACTGTTGCCACTGAAACATTAAAAACCTGATCATTTCCAAATGAAACAGTAAAGGGGAGGCTTCTGATTCAGAGGTATTAGCTGAATGGGATAGTTTTCAGTTTTTATTTTGTTTTTCTTTATTTTATTTCAACTATAGGTTCTAAAATCAGCCCGCCAACACGTCCTAGTGTTCATGCTGGCTAGGGGATTCTATCAACCATAATCCCCAAAGCTACTTTTTCACATTTTCATAGCTAAAGGTTAAGAGAAAGTAGGTCACTGAAGGCCAGCCAATTCGCTTCATAAATTAGCCATGTCCAAAATCTCAGCCTTGTAATTTACTGTAACTGCTTTGCAAAATGGAGCAAGTGGGAGAAGGGCGCCCTCTGCTGATAACAGAAAGGGCAAAGCCACCCAGTTTGTACAGGGAGTGGAATTTCTTTTCTATGCAGGGCAGTGGCTTACTCTAGGCTGGATGTCTGTGGTGACTTTGGAAATGCAGACGTTCATCATGACAGTTTTCATTGCTAACACACATGCACACACGAAAAAATGCAGACCATTGGACTAAGTCTATATGAATAATGGAGAGTCGGGGTTTTTTTGTAAACGGAATGGGTCTAAATCACTCATTCAACAGAAAACCACCCTCGAATACTTTGCATTACAAAAGAGATAGCTTGTAACAATACTGGATACCAGTCCTTGGAACATTTATTTCCATTTGTTTCCTAGATACTATGCAGATTGCAGTTAGATTCAGAAGGGAAGCCTGAGGGGCACTGCAAGGGATGCTATAGAGTTCTTACTGCTCAAAACATCTCAGCTCTATACCTGCACTATGCCAACTGCTTAAAAGGAAACATCAGTCTAGATGGCAGCTTGTGGGGCTGGAGAGATGGGTCCGCATAGGCCAGGGTGGGCAACTGCTGGCCCTTCAGATGTTCTTGGGATTCAACTCTCATCATTCCGAGCAAGTCCGACGAGAACTGACGGGAATTCAACAATATCTGGAGGGCAACCTCGCCCCTTGCAAATCATCTCTGCTCTCTCAGCCTCGTACATTAAAGAGCATCTTCCAGGCAAAGGATTTTTTTCACCAACTCTTTTTGTCACTTAGCACCAAGGGGAGTCAAGTGATTACTGGGCTGTGCCTCTAAGCTTCCTTTAAAAAACCCCACTTCTCTGTAAAAATCCACCTTTGGGGTGGGCAAGTGCTAACTGAAAGCATCTGGTCACACTGTGGACATCAACTTAAAAGGTAACACCATAGTATTCAACTCCACTGCCCAGTTCTGACACACGGCAACCATTTTCAGGGTTTTCCAGGCAGAGAATACTCAGAATTGCTTTCCGATCCCCTTCTTCTGGGGGTGCCCTGGGACCGTGCAGCTCACCCAAGGCCACATAGGCTGGCTCTTCTCCCTCGGGGCTCAGTGGGGAATTGAACTCAGCTACTTAAACCACAAGGCCACACAGGCTGGCTCTTCTCCCGGGGGGGGCACAGTGGGGAACCGAACTCAGCTACTTAAACCACGGAGCTATCCAGGCCATTACAAAGTGATATGAATAATAATAATCTTGGAACTGCAGAGATCAGCTACTTAAACCACAGAGCTATCCAGGCCATTACAAAGTGATATGAATAATAATAATCTTAGAACTGCAGAGCTGGAAGAGACCTTATGGATCTTTGAGTCCAGCTCCTGTCAATGAGGCATAGTGGGCAACTGAACTCCCAACTTCTGGCTCGGCAACCCGATACTGTACCTAAATCACTGAGCTATCATATTAATAATAAACAGTGCTTAAAGGAGCGATAAAAGGGACTGAAAAGCCACAGAAGTAGGGAGAAGCACTGTATTTAGGACAAAGTGAACATTGATGACAAGAAAAATATCAGCTGGTACTGTACATTAAGATGGTTGATTTGGAAGGGGCCTTTGCAGGTCGACCTGCTTGACAGCAAAGGCCCTTTTTTCCTTCTCCCAAGCTTGTAATTTTGCATGCATACTGAAGCTGGATTTAAAGGAGTCACCATCAATTCTCCTTACTGCAGTTTGGATCCTTGTTTTATTCCAATTCTGACACACTGAAAACCACCCTGGACCTTTTTTCCTTTTCCGTGAAAGGGCGAAATGTGTTCAACACCACAAATTGTAAAGAGGGTTGCTTTTTTCTCTTTTCTTTTTTTTTGCACACAAACTACTTAGTAAACATACACGTGCTTCGCCGAGATGGAAGGACTGATCTTCCCAATTTGCTTTTTAAGCGCATCCTGGCATACTTTGCCATTGCCATTGAAGCGGAGGGGGGGGGGGGTTCCCCAAACTGGGGGGAGGGGGGGCAAGAACAGTAGAGAAGCCACTGCAGTTAGTCTCCAGCCACTTCACACGATCAATGCCAGTGCAAAATGGCGACTCCAACCAGCCTGACACGTTTCCATTCGCCGGTCTGCGAAACGGGCCCCGCGTAACCCACTCGCCACCTTCCCACCGACAACCCCCCCCCGTAATGTCTCCCACCACTTTCTATTAGACTCACCTCTTTGATCACCGAGTGCCAGTCTTCGAAATACCAGCCAATCAGAAGCGAGCTCTCGCAACAGGCACGGCCTCGCCTTCCGAGGCGCCACGGGCCAATGAGCTGGCGCGTCCCGCTCCAGCCAATGGCGTTCGGGGTTCTCGCCCAAAACAAACAGCGGGACGTTCCAAGGTCTTCAGACAAGAGCTGCCATTTGGAGCGGAGGTGCGGCTGCGTTGGGGGCGGGCTGTTGTTTTGTATTCATCATGGCTGGGCAGGTATTTCCTTTGGGAATCACAGGACATTAGAAGCTTGGCCACCGCATTTCGAGATGACTGCCGGCTGTGGAAAATCTGGACCTGCTCGGCAGTTCACATTCTTGTTTTATTACACATAGCAAGCAAAATACCGCAGACCTTTTAAGGACTAGGAGGTTTATTTCAGTATGAGCTTCGGTAGGTTACAGTGGATTGTTGGATGCTTATGTGCTGTCAAGTCGGAACCGACTTATAGCGATACTTTAAGGGCAAATGAGTTATTTGAAGAGTGGATTTATTAATTCCACGCTCCCATGAATTTCCGTGGCCAAGCAGGAATTCGAACTCCGGTTCTAGACCGTCACTTTATCTGCTACACTACATTGAGTATCATAATGGTTTAAAGTGTGCAAAAATATGCACCTTCCTGAGAGCTTATGTCGGATGATTAATTAAATCAGGTTATTTTGTTATTTGCATAGCATTCGTTACTGGTGATAATCATGTTATTGTCACTTGGACATTTCTTTTTTGTGCTTGTTACTTTCACCGGGTCCCCAAAAGCTTGCATATGAATGTACAACATGGCTCACTGTTTCATTTTATGTGTCTGAGGAAATGGACCGTAATCCACAAAAACTCACACTGAAATAAACATGTTGCTCTCAATGGTGTTACAATACTTTATTTTTTCTTATACCAGATAAAACAGACTAAACTCTTTGAAATTCACTTCTTGGAGTTCGGTCAACTACTTATAGCAACCCTAATAGGGCTTTCAGGGTAAATAAGATATTTAAGGAGTGGTGTTATCAGTTCCACCTGCTCTGTTGAGTTTCCATGGCTGAGTGAGGATTTGAACCCAGATCCTCTGAGCCCTAGTTCATCACTCTGCGAGTTTCCATGGTTAAGTGAGGATTTGAACCCAGATCATCTGAGCCCTAGTTCATCACTCTGTCCACCACACCACATAAGGTACCGATCTTAGCCATGTTAGTTTACTGCAAAAAGATTAAAAAACCAAAGGAGTTTTGTGGCATGAACCCAGATCATCTGAGCCCTAGTTCATCACTCTGTCCACCACACCACATAAGGTACCGATCTTAGCCATGTTAGTTTACTGCAAAAAGATTAAAAAAAACAAAGGGGTTTTGTGGCACCTTTAAGGCTTCTTGGCACACATTTTTGTAGCATCTGAACTATGATAGAGGTCACTAAAGCTTATGTCAAATAAACTTTAATCTTTCAAGGTGCCACAAAACTCCTTGTTCTTAATAGGTTTTAAAGGCTTGCAAAAACAGAGTCTATGAAGTATGGCATGTGTGTTACATACAGGGTTGTCCTGGCCCAAAAGTTGAACCTTTTTTGCCCAGAGAGCTTTAAAAAGTATGAAGGTAAGGAATGTTCACAAGTAGTTATTAAATATTGACTTTATCTTGATAGACTTCCACCAGTTATATATGGGACTGGGATTCAGGGAATCATAACTCAGTGGTTTAAGACTGAGTGCTTGATTCCCACTGTGTCTCCTTTACAGGGGCTGGTCTCAGTGATCCATAGGGTCCCTTCCAGCTGTCCAGTTCCAAGATGATGATGATTCTGTTTAGAGTCTTGGATTATTTGTGAAGAAACCAGGTTCAGCCTCTTCCTGGTCAAAAACCACTAGGACTGTTTGTGATCTTGTTGCTTCTGATTGACCTCCTTTTTCTTTACTCAATCCAAAGTAGTCGTCACACCCAGTTATTGTTTAACATAGCTCGTATAGAACTGTTTGGAAAATCTCCTTCTGAGCTAGAACTCCCAGCACTGCCCAGCAGCATATTCATTGGGTGGGGGATTGTAGGAACTGTAGTCCAAAAGAGTAGTTTTTCCAAACCCTGGCACCAATACAGGAGCAGACAAGGTGTGTTCCTTTAGATAACATGCATCAGCTCTAACAGTGTGGTTAGGGCTGATCAGCCTTGTAGTCCAACAATAAATGGATAGCTATATATTGTCCCTCTCTCTGCTGGCCTATGTCTGTCCAAAAGAAAACACACTTGTATTTTCAAAATAAAATAGCACAACCGAAAGAGACTGAAGCTCTGCGACACATTCATATGTAAAGGAGGGAAAACTTGCAAAAGAATTCTTAGAATGCAAATCATTTTGCCTGTGTTTTCATCTGCAAAATCTAGAGAGTTGAGCATTGCAGGCTGATGCTATGCCAGCTTTATGCTGGAGGAGAAATCAGGTTGCTGCAGCAGCAAGTAACTCGAATGCCATGGCTTCTTTGGATGGTTAAAACAAGCAAGGCCAGCGTGCTTCGGAAAGGGGAGAGTGCACAGGAACTGAAATCATGGAATTTAATTTCTATTTTACCATTCAGGAAGTCCTCTGGGAATTGGGGCAGGAGGGATGAGGATATCTACTTTGGAGTGGACAAGATCAAAATGCAGTTTTGAACCAGGCTTTTGGCTATTTGAGACATTCTATTTTCTTTAAAATACTCTGTAGCAACTGACACTGTTAACAATGTTGTTTGCTCTGCTTCCATTGTGAAATAAAATTGTCCTGGTTAATTTCAGAACGACCAGATCTCTGAGCCCAAATGTTGCAGGTTCTTGCGACATGCACCATAGAAACAATCTATTTCATATGAAATATGAAAAAGAACTCTGTATGTAAGCAAGAAGTTAGCAAACCTGAAAAAAAAGATCACATACAGATATAAATAAATGAGCAAACACGTTCATGAATTCCAGATGGTACAAGCATTTCTGAAATGCAAATCTTTGCACTGAATGCTTCAGAAAGCATTACCAAATGCTGCTTTTCCCCCCCAAATTCCTCTTCATGCAGATGACTAGAAGGGAAGGAAGATATGGCATGTAGACTAGAAAACTTTCCAGTATTAGTTTTCTGCAGGGATTTTTTGATGTACAGATTTAGTAACATCCTCCACTTGCTACTACATGGTAGTGCCTCAATGATATATTTGAAACAACAGATAAGCTCAAAATCTAAACTCTGTGCATAAAAGTTAGGGACAGTAAACATCCCAAGCTAGGGCAAGACTTCACAACATTGCTGCACATGTTTTACATATGTTCTTATTTGTTGACCTCTCTTCTGAGGTGGAGGCAGGATAATATAAACCAAACTTCCAAATTTTACAAGGTAGGACTAGTAAGCATTAACCTTTCCACAGGTTTTTAGTAGGTGGGATGTGTGTGTATATTGACACATTGCTCCAGACCCAGCCTCCCTTGTCTTGGCATGCTAGATAGACCTGGCATTCATAACATAAGTGAGTAGAAATGTTGTTGTGATCAGCGCTAGATGTCACAATGGTTGTCTGGCTGCTCTATCACAAATACCAGAGTATTTGGTGGTTTCCAGAGGCAGCAAAGAGTAGCAGCAACTATATCTTCTAAACTATTCAATGTTTTAAAAACTGGTTTGTAAACATTACGTAAGGGAAAAAAACTGGTTTGTGAAACTATGGTACATAATTCTATGCATGTTCCCCTTTAACTGCATTTGCTGCAGAAAATCTAAAGGATTCATAAAACCGAAGGCTACCCCTAGGCATTCAGATGTCTGAGGTGAAGGCAAAGATGCTCCCCCTCTCCCTAGTCCGACAGTTCCATCTTCCTTTACCACTGGGAATGAGATAGTGCCCTTCATCACATCCACTAGTCAAGGGCACTGGTTTGCAACCATAGCTCATTGTATCTTCTACAGTGGTACCTCGCTAGACCTCTGCATGACGATGAGGTTTTGCGATGGCTATAGCGATTCGCAAAACAGTGATTCCAATGGGTGATTTTCGCTGGATGATGTTTGGGTCCCTGCTTCGCAAACCTTTCTCGCAAGACGACGATTTTTAACACTGATTGGCACTTCGTGAAACCGGTTTTCGGGACCGATGCTTCGCAGGGCAGCCATTTTAACAGCTGATCGGCGCTTCACAAAATGGCTTCCCTATGGGTGATCTTTGCAAAACGACGTCAATTTTTCCTCATTGGAACACATTAAACTGGTTTCAATGCATTCCAATGGGGAAACGTTTTTCGCAAGACGATGTTTTCGCTAAACAGCGATTTCTATGGAACGGATTATCGTCATCATGTGGGGCACCATTGTACTCTTAAGATTCCTAACTGTTAATGCTACCTAGCTGGGGCTGCTAGATGCTGAAGTCCAAAATGGTGCAAGACACCACACTGGAGAAGGCTGCTGCCCATTGAAAATGGCAGCATCCTTTACGGACAACTTTTCAATAATCAAGATTTATGAAGTTCTGGCAACAATGAAGTAAGTAAGTAACCCAAATAAACACTCACATAGCAGTCTGGTAATCTGAGATGTGTTTTTAATAGAAGACATACTTTTTCTTAAAAAGTATTCCTTTTTTTTCTGTTTCTTTTTTTTTAACAAAAAAGGAGCAGGATAATTGCTATGGCCCTTTACATGAGGGTAAGAAACTCCAAACAGATCCAAGCAGCAAGGAGTGTAGGTAGGGTGAGGCAGGAAGGAAGAGACAATGAGATTAAAAAAAAAAAGCAAACCCCCTGGGTTTGAGGAAAAACAAATACAGAAAATACTTTGTTAGAAACAAATACAAATAATAATAAGACAGAATAAAAACAAATAAAGACAAGAAACCACCATGCAAAATAATAATAATAATATTTATATAGAGAGAAGGCAGGCCCACCCCCAGAGCCAGTTCCTGGAAATAAAACAGCATATGCATCTGGATATTTGACTATAAGTCCAAGCTAGGATTTGCAAACCCTTCATTTTGAAGGTTTAAGTGCAGGATTAGGGTGGCCTTTTTTTTCTCCTTCTTTTGGCCTCACTGTTTATCTGCTGCTGGCTTATAAAAGGTGCACATTAACTGGTTAGTTTATACCGAGAGATTTAGTGTAAAACACTTTGAACACTAAAGTGCTATATAAGTGCTAGATATTACTAGGTTTGCAATCCGATCCACCACTTTTTCCTAGGAGTAAGCCACTGGGAAAACATCAGACATCTTGCTTCAGAGGCATCACGCGCAGGATTGGGTTACAGCTTCTTAAAATGTGGATACAACCAGTCAAAGCCATTTCACTGTTAATTAGTGGAATTAAAATCAGAAGCCTAAGTGAGCAAAACACACAGCTCCTGGATAAATGAGGCCTTCAGATTGCCCGTTTCGTCATGTCCAGAGAAACATAGATGTTCCTATTTCTAAAGATGTGTAACTGCAGCAAGCGATATGTGTGCAAATTACCCACATGGGTGGGTGGTTGTTTCCCCTATAAGCTGGATATCTAAGAGCTAGAGATAAGTCACGCGTCAAGCAGCGCAAAGGCTCCATAGTGAGCAAACCAAAGTCATTCATAGAACATGCGCAAGTGGACAACAGTCGGAATTCCCGGCATTTGCAAAGCACAGATTCTTTGTGTTGCACCTAGGCCGTTGTCTCAGCTCCATTAAAGAGGCCTGCCCACGTTCGCATCCGGCAAGAACGGGCTGACACTCAAGAGCCTGGACAGGTTCCTTTTCTGGACGACAGATCCTGGAATCCTGCAGCCAACCTAGTCACTAGGGCAAATCTGCAAGTCGCTGTCCAAAAAGGAAACATTTCTAGGCTCTGCTTGCCCAGACCATGTTCACAAAAAGAGAACAGATCTTGTCTGCTTTCAAAAGCTAAGCAGGGCTGGGCCTGGTTAGTCTTTGGATGGACAAGCACTAGGGAATGCTAAGAATCTGTAGTTACAGGCAGGAAAGGACCCTGTTCCTGAAATGCTGGAGAGCTGCTGGCAATATTGGGCTAGATGGACCAACAATCTGACTCAGCATAAGGCAAGCTTCCTATGTTCCAAAGAGAACAACAAGGGGAGTCTGCAAGGAATTGCTGAGGTCTGTTGGAAACACTTCATTCTCAGCCTTCACACACAGACCTCCAAGAATTCAAAACTCTTTACGTAAAAGTTATTTCTTGAAATAAACTTATTTCACATTTTCTCCACAGTTGCTCACCTTATTCTAAATCTAGCATGTGGTTATTTATTCGGAACACTCTAGATTTTTATGTTAGCAAAAAGAACATCCGGCATGAAAGCTGAGAACCATAAAGCAAGGGGCAAGTGGTGACAGGGAATAGTGTCAAAACAGCAAAAGCTGCTGGAGATACTCGTTGAATGCTTTTGACAATACAAGAGGACTAGAAGCTTGGTGAATGAAAAGAATCTTCAGAACCCGAATTCTGCATCAAAGAGAAAACAGAATTCAACAGCGAGACAAAGTGAAAAAGGCTAAGATATGGTCTGTGAGTCTTGCCACTGTTACTGATTCTACAGGGTTTGCAAATCCTAATTTCTTTGATCAGAAGTTTGTTTGTTTTTTACATCCCTACCCCTACTGTAGCAGGTTTGGGGACTGGAGGGGAAAAGGAGAAAGAGGAGAAATCAAAGTGCGCTTGGCTGCAGGCCATGAGGTGCAGAGAGATTGGTTAACCTGTTTTCAGTCCGAAGTAGAGGAAGGCAAGCTGAGATGACTTGTATTTCCAGTTCATTCCTCACCTTTACCCCCAAGGTCTGGGCAAGTGCAAGAGGCAGGTGGGAAGGAGGTTTTAATAGCCAAGGACTGCTGGAAGAAACAGCCTTCCAGCGATGATAAATTCCAGAGATGCTTCTTTGTGTGAAGGATCTCTCAAGGGGCCCTTTGCAGCCACCCGAGGAACAGGGGAAAGTAGTCAAGGAGACCTCGGGGTTGAGATGCTGAGCGAGGTCAGGAGACAGGGAGCAGAAGGCACCCCTGGTGCAGCCGCCACTGTGGAGGATGACAATACGGAAAAGAAAAGAAAACAAAAAACCTGTCCACCAACCACCCAGCCGGAAGGGAATGTATCTCAGGACCAGGAGACGATGACCCCCCCATCCCCGCATTCCTGCTCTTGTAGGTGGTCCATTTACTGCCAAATCCCTGATGGTTTTCCTCTAACTTATTTCAGGATTGTAGGCTAGGAGTTCATATGTAGACACCATTTAATGAGATAAGGAAGAGGAGGCAAAATAAAGAAGAGGGGAAAGGGTGCAGGAAAAGTGATGGCTATTTGAGTTGGATTCCCCCATTAAACCAAGGAGAGTTAAAAATCCTGATGCTCAAACCCTCCTTCTCCCCGGTTTTCACCCCTCAGGGGTGGTTGATATTAAAGTGCAGCCTGATAACAAGGAGGAGTTTTTCAAAGAAGGTGGGAGACCCTTGAAAGAGGAGCCAAGGTGGGCAGTGGAAAATGGGGAGCACAGGGGAGCGTTTGGGGTGCTGAGGGGTTTTTTTCTTCTTCTTCCTGTATATATGACAGTGTGCAAGATTGGGGTTCCTACTCCCCTCTCCCCAAGATCCAGCCCACCCACCTGGGTCTGACACACACACACAGACCCCCCTTTAATCGGTCTGGCCTGGCTCATTGGCGGGGGGCCCCGGCGGCGGCTGTGGCCCTTGAGAGGGTGCCAGGGGCTGGGGGGAAGGCTGGTGATTTGCAGAGGGGGAGTCGCTTTCCGGGTCTTCGGTCTCCTCGTCAGAAACGCCGTCAAGGCGGAAGACCTGCCGCACCGTTCGAGTGGTGAAGCTCAGAGGTGTGCGTCTGTAATGGGGGGGGAGGAAAGAAAAGAATTTGCATTTATTTCCCAACATTCAACTTTGGCTACCACTTTCTTTAAAGCCTATAATTGTTACCATCCCCACCTCTACCAGCATACTCCAGTAACTCCAATTTTCAGTCCTTAAATTGAGACTGGAGCAACCAAATACAGTGCTGCCTCGCATTACGATGTTAATTCATTCCAGTGAAATTGCTGTAGAACGAAAATGTCGTAATGCGAAAAGAAAAAAGCCATTTAAGCGCATTAAAACCCGTTTAATGTGTTCCAAAGGGCTGTAAACTCACCGTCCAGCAAAGATCCTCTACAGGGCAGCAATTTTCGCTGCCTGTGCAACGAGGAATCCGTGCCAGAAAACACGGTGGCCATTTTGAAACCGCCGATCAGCTGTTGGAAAATCGTCGTTTTGCGAAGAATCGGTTCCCGAAGCAGGGAACCGATCATCGCAAAGCGAAATTCCCCCTTAGGAAACATCGTTTTGCGATTGCAAAAGGTTCATTGTAATCCGGTTTCATCGTTAAACAGGGCAATCGTAATGCGAGGCACCACTGTAGTCTCACTTTCTCAAAAAGCTCTCTCTTCAGCCCCATGATCGCCTTTCTCCAGTTTTGTTTCCGTTTAATCCTGCAGAGCTGAATATATTCCTGAGTGTTCATTTCAGGAGGACCCCAGTATCTACGAGGGATCAATTCCTAGCTCTGCCCCCATGGATGGTGAAAAATGTGGATTATATAGAGAACACTATTTTAATAGCAAATGCTATACACAGCATCGTGGCTGGCTTCCCCTAGTAGCCAGTTCTGGTAACTTCACCTTTAGAAATACAGTACAGTATATATTTCTAGGATTTTCTTATAATATTTTTAATATTTTCAGAGTGTCCATCGACTGATCCTGATCCCACAGATAAGGGGGTCCTACTGTATCAGGATAGCTGTATCTGCCATTCCAGCTGTCAATCCCAGGCAAAATGACGTGTGCTATAGAGATGCAACACGGCCACTGTTAGTACCTGTCAAGCTTCACAGCCAACGGGCAGTCTTTAGTTCAATAAACTGAACAATAAGTTCAGGTTGCGTTTGTGTGTCACTGAAATGATTCCTGTATCTTTATTTTTCCCGCCCCACTGCCTGGTGGGATTCAAGCGCCTCTTTCAGTAGTTGCTTCCCCCCAAGCACTGCAACCAGTTGGAATTATGTCAGTGAAAGCAGTCGTTCTGTGTGGCACAGCGCAGCACTATATGTGGCAATATACTTTCATTCATTGTATTCACTCAGTTCTCAATCCCAAACAGCACAGGTCTTTATCACTTTAACTAGAAAACTCTTTGTGGCTTTTGTCAAGGGTTGCTTCCTGTTCAGCACAATGAAGCAGTAAGTTTGGGTTAGTCTTTGGCTTAGTTTCCCTTCTAAGCACTAGTTTCTTTTCTTTGTCTTTTTAAAATGTGAAATTATAGACACAGAACAAGTAAAAGAAGATAATGAGTAAAGGTGCTCAATTTCTCTCTCTCCTGGAAATGTGTGTTCGGTGCTGTCAAAGCAGAACTGACTTACAGCAGCCCTAAAAGGGCTTTAAAGGCAAGTGAGATATTTTAAGGAGTGGTTTCACCAGTTTCACTCCCCCCAGTCAGTTTCCATGGCCAAGCAGGGATTCGACCTTCATTCTCCAGAACCCTGGGCCGTTACTCTATCCACTACACCACATTGGGAATCTCTCCTTGGAAGGCATGATTAGTGACTGAGGAACAACGAATGCTGTGCCCTACAGAGCATGAAACCATCAAAAGCCGAAAACTCAAAAAAGCTTCTAATTAAAGGTACTATAGCCCTCCAAAGCATCACTAGCAATTTGCACAGCCATACACAGAGCAGAAGTGTTATATGTTAAGAGGAAGGGCAGCTCACAAATTCAGTCTGACAAAAGGAGGCCAGATGGAGAACGGTGGAATCGAGAGCTATGTCGTTGCCTTGATTCTCCCTAAAACTGGAGACAGCCTATCATTTAAGGACGTAGCATTTCAGCTCTTAAGACTCCCAACTGGAGTTACTGGGATGCTGGTGTTCTGCACTAGAATGCTTTAAGAAGTGCAACTATTGTATATGCGTTTTCCTGAAAGGGTTCTAAGTCAGACGTAGTTAAACTGGACTGTGGAAAAGTTGGGAAGCAGGACTAAGTATCTGTATTTGACTCCTTTCTCTGGCCAGCTGAGATCAAGGTGATTTTGAACAGGGGCAGGTTACTGAAAAGGCTACCAAGGCCCTTGACCTAGGGGCCCATGACTTCCACATTCCATTGATGAGGATGATGACAAAATTCCACATTCCAGTGATGAGGATGATGACAAAATTGTCAATCAGAATTATAAAAATATTGACTGGCATTATATAACAAACACACGTTCTAACCAAAAACCTAAGTATCAGTTAAATATCAAAGTAGCACATATGCTGTTCCTAAAACTGTCATTATTCCTAGCTCTGATGATGTTATTTCTGAAATCTGCAACAGCTTATAATACTATGTGAAATTTCTTGATGTTGTTCCCAAAGTCTACTGAATTCAACAAAACCATGTTTTGGGTTCATAGAATCATAGAATAATGAAGCTGGAAGGGGCCTACAAGGCCATCGAATCCAACCCCTTTGCTCAGTGCAGAATACAAATCAAAGGACATCTGCCAGTTGGTTGTCTAAATTCCTCTTGAATGTCTCCAGTGCTGGAGCACTCCTAATGAAAGGGTTCATAAACTGGGCAGAAGCTTAAAGGCTGCCCTTCCTCTGATGCAATTTCCTCATTTTAAACACTGCCCTCTTTGATGCCAAGAAAAGACCTGTGCGCCTGTACTGGGATAGCCGGAGGGATACAAGGTCAACTTGTTAAGACTAGGATGCCAGAGGCCAGGGTTCAAATTCCTGCTCAGCCATAAGGCTTGCTGGGTGACCTTGGGCTTGTCCTTTATCTTTCAACCTAACCTACGTCACTCTGTGTGCATGTGTGTGCACTGTATGCATGTCCTCCTAAACAGATGGGAAAATACTGAAAGCTGCACAAAATCAGTTTTAGCCCAGTACAGCAATAAAATAAAATATGCATAATAAACAAACAAACAAACAAACAAACAAACAAATAAATAAAAAGGAAGGGACCATGGATGAGCAATAGATCTCATGCTTGACATTCAAAAGCTCTTGTGGTCAATTCTCAGCACTGACACTTAGACAGTCAAGCAACAGTAGAAAGCCAGTGCAGTGTAGTTGTTAAAGAGGAGTGGCCTAAAACCTTGGAAATTCAGTTACCTACTCATCCATGAAGCGTCCTGGGTGATCTTGTGTCCGTTACTCTGCCCTCAGCCTGACCTACCTCACTGGACTGTTGTGAGGATTGCCTTAAGCTCACTGGAAGACAGGCAGACTATAAATGTAACTAAATAATAGGTGGGCTGGCTGGATAGCTCAGTGGCTTAGGCATATGACTGTAGAGCCAGAGATCGGCAGTTTAATTCCTCACTCTGCCTCCTGAGGTAAGGCCAGCCTGTATAGCCATGGGCAAACTGCACAGTCCCAGGGCAACCCCAGAAGAAGGCAACAGGTAACCACTTCAGAGGGTTTTCTTGGTAGAAAATACTCTGAACGCTGGAAAGGTTGCCATAAATCAGAGCTGACTTGATGTCATGCAGTTATTTAAATAACAAGCAGACCGTCCTCAAATTAAATAGTTGTCTATGCTTCTCTTATACATCTACTGTCATCACGGATCAAGCAGCCGCTTTACAAGACTTCAGATTATGGAAAGAGCAGGAGGGGAAGGACAAGGACGCCTCTCCTTCACTAAGAAACCAAAGGACCCCCCTCTGGCTCCTTTTAGGAAAGTGGGGGATCCGAACTGCAGCGATCCCATGTCAGGTGCGTTTCCGCTCTTAGTGGGAGCAGCAAAGCCAGGTGTTTCTGCAACTGCCACAGCACACAAGAGGCACATGTCCCTCCCTGCCTCCCACCACTGCCCAACGGCACTGCACAGCACACACATGCAGAAGAGAGGAGCGAGAGAAGGAGAGAACGTACTTCCGCTGCCGGCGTTCTAACTTGCTGTTGGGGTTGGAGGGAAAAGGATGGAATGTCACAGAAAGAGAAAGAAAAGAGGAAGGAGGAAAAAGAGAGATGCAGACATGAAAGAATGACCCAGAACAAATCAGACACTGAAAAAAGGAAGACAAATATCAGAAAGTAGGAAAGGATGGAAGGACTGGGACAGATCAGCTTTCTCCAACTGGCCTGGGCCATCTGAGAATCATGGGGATGGGCATCCCAAACATCTGGAGGCCACTGGGAGAAGTTGGAGAAGGTTGGCCATTAGGCACTTGCACAGAAGAATCTGCAGCCTGCTAAAATCACGGAGTGAAGAGGTATGTGCTTAAAATGCTGGAGCAAGAACAGGGAACATGTGGGTCTCTTGATATTGCTGGACTGCACTCATGTTGCCCTTAAGCATTGGAATGGTTGGCGCTAGCTGATGTGAGTTGCAGTCCAACAACCAGTAAAGGTCCAAGGATTCCTCACTCCAGTGTTATACAATTAAGGGGGCAGGTCAAGGCTTAATGTTATGATTATCTGTTATGTTTTAGAAATGGGGAAGCCAGGCCTTTATGTATGAAGGACGGAGGCGTTACTAAAAAGGAACTATATGATACTTACCATGGTTTAATGCTATGTACACAAGCATGAAAGCATTTTGTTTGACTTTCCAAGAATCCTGTTTTACGGCATCTGTATAATTTCTAAACAAGCCAGTTTTAAACTGTGGTTTCTAAATCAGAGGTGGTTGTAAACCACAAGCTCTGATTCATATGTCATGGCATGCCTGAATTCTTCCTACATGAAATGAAACATAAGCAGAACCCTTCTGTGCGAAGAAGCGCATGGATTTAAGCTTTTGCTTGAATTCATTCCAGCTTTTGGACATACTGAGATACCATGCTTTAATTTAAACGCATGTGTGAATGATCCTTGTTTCAGTTATTTTTAAATAAAGGCATTTGTACACGACATGTGTAAACCATCAGGGCTTCCCTCCCATTTTGTACTGGAAACTGTAGTTTAGTGAAATGCTAATTATAATGGCCAACAGGTCAGATGGCTTCAGAAGCAGAGGAGCTCTTAGCCAGAAAGGTTGGATGGAAACTCTACCAGCACCAAAGAAAATCAGAATTACATCCCTCTGAGGAGCAATAACAAATCATATAATTTTAGAGTTTGGAGAGATCTCAAAGGTCATCTAGTCCAACCCCCTGCTGATGTGGCAAACCTGCAAATAAAGCATCCCTGGCTGATAACCATACAGCCTCCAATAACGGAATCTCCCATTGCCTTCTAAAGCATCCCTGGCTGATAACCATACAGCTTCCAATAACCCTTTCAAGGCAATCTGTTCCACTCTGGAACAGTTCCTTCTAATGTTTAGTCGAAATCTCCTTCCCTATAACTTAAATCCAAAGGTGTTGCCCTCTGAAGTGGCAGAAAATAGGTTTGCTCCATCTTCTACCCAACAGCAATCAAGATAACTTGAACCTGCTGTCGTATCACCTCTCAGCCACTTCTTTCCCCGGTTAAGCAGGCCCAACGGCCCCAGCCATTCTTCACCAAACTTGGTTTCCAGACCCCGTCTCCTTCTTCATCTCAACGTATCTCAACAATCTCCTTAGGCAACAAGAGGGAGGGACCATGCTGAACGCCTCTCTGAAGGTAGCACCACGTACCTGAGGCGATTCCGGAGACTGGTGACCTCACGGTTCATGGATTCAGCTGACTCAGTGACATCCTCAAGCTCACGCTGCATACGGCGGCGACTAGCATTAGCCCGCGATGCTTCTTCCTCAGCCTCCTCCAGCTGTCGTTTTAGCTGCTTCAACCGTAATTGGCTTTTTTCAACCTGCCAGAAGTGGGGGGGGGGGACAAAAGCAGGGGCTTAAAATCAACCCAGACAAGATCCTTGATGTGCATGAATCTTTGATGCAACTCAACACAAGTGTAACTTAATGCACAGGTATCTTCTGTCATACCTATCAACCCAGCTACTACCATGTCTTTATTGTTTCTGTCATCTGGGAGTTTGATTTCTCACTATGTCTCCTTGACAGGGTGTGTGTGGGGGTGTGGACTCGATCCACTGGGTCCCTTCCAGCTCTGCACTTCTAAGATGATAAGATATGTGTGTGTGTGGGGGGATTTAGCTTCCCTTGAGGTTCTTAGCTTTGTTCTGGAAAACTTAACACCTGATTTCAGATACAGAGGAAACGCCCTGCAAGTGCTGAGCGACAGGCACTTCGCATATGCTCAGAGATTCAATGTAGGGTTATTTCAGTATTCTTTAAAGCTGGGTACCAAACCCTAGAAACCAACCCCAGGGCTCAGAAAGAAGGTGTTTGGGAGCAGGAACAGCACAGATGCCTTTGGTCATACCTGATCTTTGTACTGGTCTGCGTTCCTCCTCTCTTCATCCACCTGGAGGATCACCTCCTTCAGTTTCTTCTCTGCCCTCCGAACAAGTTTCCCTGACAGGATCCTCTCCCTAAAGGCAAGCCAAAAAAAAAAGTTTCTTATGAAGGAATTGGAGGGTGGTATTTGCTCAGATCTCAGACTCAGTCAAAAGTAGGTTTAGATTAAAGCCCCTCGTATGTGCTCAGATCTCAGACTCAGTCAAAAGTAGGTTTACATTAAAGCCCCTCTAAGGACAAAATATGCAACCTAGCAGTTCGAAAGCATGCAAATGCAAATAGATAAATAGGGACCACCTCGGTGGGAAGGTAACAACATTCCGTGTCTACGTCGCACTGGCCATGAGACCACGGAAGATTGTCTTCGGACAAAACGCTGGCTCTATGGCTTGGAAATGGAGATGAGCACCGCCCCCTAGAGTCGAACACGACTGGACAAAAATTGTCAAGGGAAACTTTTACCTTTTTTAAGGACAACTAATTCTGGATCCAACCCATGATCCCTCCAGACTCGTTTGTTCTCAACTCTCTGGTGACTTCCCAATACTGCTTATCCTCAATTCATACGATGTAAATTGTTGGATAAGCAAATATGCAAAGTCTTTGCACATGTAACTTTTTTTTAAAAAGCAGGTAGAAGAGGTTTAGTGCTTTATTTGGAAACTCCAAATACTACTTTGTTATTGGAGCTAAGCAGGGTGTAGATCTGATCAGCAAACTGGACAAGAGATCACAGGGGCCTCATGTTTAGAGAAGGATATATCGGTAGTGGCAATGACGGCAGCGGGAGCCCCTGAAAGGCTTTGAAATGGTAAGTTTAATTTTTTTTACATTTATTTTAATTTTGTGGGGGGGGAGGTGTTTCTTGGGTGGGTTACTAATTAATTGGTTTTCAATGCATTCCTATGGGGAATGCATTTTCGACCTGCAGACTTTTCGACCTACGGACTCTGTTCCAATACGGATTAATTCCGTAGGTCGAGACCCCACTGTAACAGGGGTTGAGTCTAAGGGAGATGGCAGAGCAGAGATTTGAACCTGGGGTTTGGTCTACTCTGGGTTGAATTAGATGAGAAACTAGGAGCTTGCACTTAATTTTGTTTGTACTTCAAAACAGGCAGGAAAGAGCAGGGCTTAGGAGGAGGTTGCACTTCCTAGTTTGTCCTTCTGCTGTTTCTCTGATCAATTCACATCCTCGTCCCCTGGAACACTATTCCATGGGAGAAAACAAAGAGGCATTTCCTTCAACTTTGCCCCAAATCCAGTACAATTTTGACCCCGTCCCATGGGATGCGGCAGCCCTTCAGACACCAGACTCTTGACATCAGCACCCATCCCCATGGCCCTCAATCTGGGTTCACGGAAGGTGTTGTTCGCCAACAACAGAGCCGTTAGTTCATCATCCCTGTTGTGACCCTGCTATCATCCCGGGGCAAAGCACATTGTAAAGGTAAAGGTAAAGGTTCCCCTTGACAATTTTTGTCCAGTCGTGTTCGACTCTAGGGGGCGGTGCTCATCCCCGTTTCCAAGCCATAGAGCCAGCGTTTTGTCCGAAGACAATCTTCCGTGGTCACATGGCCAGTGCGACTTAGACACGGAATGCTGTTACCTTCCCACCGAGGTGGTCCCTATTTATCTACTTGCATTTGCATGCTTTCGAACCGCTAGGTTGGCGGGAGAAAGCACGTCGTAGGTCACCTTGATTCCTGCTCCAACTGCTCTTCCAGCTGGGCCACTTTGGACTCCAGAGTTGCGATAGCCATTTTATATTTGGACTTGACGGACGAGTCCATCTCACCAAGCTTAGCTCTCAGGTCTTTATTCTGGCGCTCCAGCTGCTGCCGAGCGTTCTCTGTCTTCTGTGAGAAGCTGCGCTCAGCTGCCAGCTCTGTAGTGACTGTCTCTACCTGCAGAAAGGTTGCCAGAGGGACAGGGTTTAGGAGGCGTGGCCAGCAGCACAGGAGGGGAGGGGCCAAGACAGGGTGGGACCGACGGCTTTGACACAAGGTGACGCTCACCTGCATGCTGAGCTTGCGATATCGGTCATTCAAGAGCTCCATGTTGCTTTGCTCTTCATCTAGTTCTTCTTCCAGCTGAGCAATTCTTGCTTCCAGGTGGCGTTTTTCATCCAGAAGAGCTGACCTGAAGCACCGATTGAGGGAGGGAATGGATCGGAAGGATGGCGGTTAATCAGAAAGAAAAGTCCAGAAGAAAACAAGGGAATATCCCTACAAAGGCCACTGAAGTTCCTTTGACACAAAATAAAGTTCCTTTGACACAACTTTTAATGGTTTTCACAAGAGGATAAAAACAAAATTAAAGCAAAGGTTTCATGCAACCCTTAATATATCATTATATTTGTTAGCAATGTCCACCCACTAAAGATGATTATCACATTAGGTTCATTCAAAAGAAAGGTCCTTGTTAGCAAACTTCCCATGAAATATTAATTAGTAACTACTTCGTTACGACTTCTGCATCCATTTGCCTCTTGTGCTGATAAATTAGTTCTTAACTGCCTCTTGGCCAGATAATTTCTCTTTCCGGGTGGGGCAGACTATAGTAATCAATTTCTTTTCATTTTTTTCTGTTCATTTAGTATGATATAATAATGCCATTTTAGTCAGAAGAGCAAAAGAGGGGATATCAGTAATGAAAGCCCTTCCCTATGAAGAAGCTTCTAACTAAAGGTGCAGCAGTTCTGAACTGTCTGTATCATTCCAGATACCTACACTGAACAAACTGGCACTACAATTGTATTTTAAAATTCTAAAAATGGCCACCTATTAATGTCTGGAAAATAAGGGCAAAGAACAACATGGACATACAGTTGGCTCCTTTCACTGAAAGAAAGCCAGCATAGATATGAAAAAGAACAAATAGCCAATGATTTATTCGCAATGTTGCGGATTGGCTGTAAAAAGTGAACAAACAAATACAGCAGTTCCCAATGATCAAACCCACCATGGCAATTCCAGATCTAGCATCTACTATACAGGCAATCTTAAACTGGACCATCTATCTCCAAGGAAGTTTTTAAGTAACCATTTTGTAATCACACAAGCCAAATCAACAGAAGCTACACGGGTAGGAAATGGTCAGGAAGAGGACACAGGACCCCAGAGCACTCACTTGCCGCTGTTTCCATTAGCCAGCTCATCTGCCAGGTCATCTCGCTCCTGCTGTGCCTGCCTCTTGGCCCGTTCTGATGCTGCCAACTCCTGAGAATGACAGAAAAAGAGCAGCAGAGAACAGGTTGAACATGCAAAAGGAGAGATCAAAACATCAGAGCGAGGTTCATGAATGATCTCCTTCCCCCATGGGGTGATGACCTCAAACGTCCCCACCCCACCCCTGCTACCAGGCAGTCGTGGGGAACTCGCTATTCAAAATGGAGGGTGGGGTATCAGGCTGAGTTCCTTATCATACTGCACATGCACACACAGGAACAGTAATAACTCGCAAGACAACGACCCCGCTAAACCACGAATCTGCATAACGATGACTTTTTGCAATCGCTATAGCGATTCGCAAAACTGTCATTCCAATGGGGGATTTTTGCCAGACATTGATTAGTCCGTGCTTCGTGAACCGTTTGTTTACAAGACAACGATTTTTCCGGCTCCGCAAAACGGCTGCTCTGTTTTTTCCAGACCCATGCTTCACAGGGCAGTCATTTTTACAGCTGATTGGCGCCCGCAAAATGGCTTCCCTATGGGCGATCTTCGCTGGACGAGGAGGTATTTTCCCCATTGGAACGCATTAAACTGGGTTTCAATGAATTCCAATAAGGAAAGGGTTTTCGCATGACGATGATTTCGCTAAACAGCGATTTCAATGGGACGGATTATCGTCATCATGCGGGGCACCACTGTACGTGAGAGACAAGTATTTGTTCCACCGGGATCATTCAACACACTGTAGCACAGAGGTCTCTCTCTCCTTACCTCCTGCAACTGCAGCAGCTCTGCCTCCAAATTCTTCAATTTCTTCTCACTCTCACGAGATTGGATGAAAATTTCTTCCCGGGCTGCTCGGGCTTCTTCTACTTCCCTCCACAGCTCCTTCATCTGAGCCTGGAATAAAGGTGATTGAGAGAGAGATGCCATAAGTAGTAAAAACCTATGCCCACCCCCTTTCCAGGGTTAACTACTCTGAGGGTAATGTCTTACCAAAACAATAAAGAAGATTGTCAGATTTCTCCTTTCTACCCCCTCATAGAAACATAAAACTACTGCCAACCTTGTGCTGTAATTAAGCTTAATAATCACTCATTACATATTCTTCTCCTTTTGGGCCCTCCTTCCACTCTCTGCCTCCCGCATTTCCCAGTGATCTCCGCAGAGTCCAGTTTTAGACTGTCAGCTCCGTGGAACAGAAAGCTGTCTTCTTTCTCTCTGTACACTGCATATTGAAGACTATATATAAAGACAAACTGCATATACATAGGACTGCAGTATCTTTGGGGGATTGGTTCCAACTAGAGATGTAAAGTTTCCAGAAATTTTGAAGCCATATAAAATGGCTTTGGAAAAAAAAACCCAGAAAAACAGGGGTTTTTTGGGTTTTTTCCCCAAAACCATATTCTACGGCTTCAAAATTTTCAGAAATTTTACATCTCCTGTTGGGACTGCATCTTGCCTAGAGATGGGAAGGCCATGGGAGGGGGGAAGGAAAAACTGGGAAAGAAACAGGTTTTTCTTTTTTTCCCCCAAGCCTTTATGTGGCTTCCAAATTTCTGGAATTATACATCTGTGTTCTAGCCCCCCTCCCACAGATGCCAGAAAACACAGATACACTGTAGAAACACTTTATACAGTGGTGCCTCGCTTTATGATTGCCCAGCATTACAACGAAACCACATTACGACGATCTTTTTGTGATCGCAATTGTGATCGCAAAACAATGGTCTAAATGTGTTTTTTTCGCTTTGCAATGATCGGTTCCCTGCTTCGGGAACCGATTCTTCACAAAGCGATGTTTTTTAAACAGCTGATCGGCAGTTTCAAAATGGCCACCGGGGAAACAAAATGGCTCCCCGCTGTTTTCTGGGCTGGATTCCTCGCAAGACAGGCAGCAAAATTGGCTGCCCTATGGAGGATCTTCGCTGGACGGTGAGTTTCGACCCCATTGGAATGCACTGAAGGGGTTTCAATGTGTTTCAATAGTTTTTTCCGCATTACGATGTTTTCGCTTAATGGCGATTTTCCTGGAACGGATTATCGTCGTTAAGCAAGGCACCACTGTACAGGGCATAATCTCTGGTTTCTACTAGTGGCCTGTTCTGGTAATACACCTTGGAAACATGTACTGGTCCTACTGTTTTTTTTTAAATTTAATATATTCAGGCAGTGGATAAGAACCGCCTTAGGTCGTTTTAAGGAGAAAAGTGGGGTAAAAATATTATAAATAAATAAATGATTTATAGTGGAACTGTGGGTACTGATCCTGTGGATACGGCGGTCCTCCAGTAAATAATAAATTAAATCAAGACTACAAAAAAGCTTTTGCATGGAAAGCTGATGGCCCCCCCCTGACGGACCTGTATCCCGTCCTTGAACAAATAAAGGCTTAAACAAAGAGGCTGCCGGCCTACCTGCAACTTGCGCAGCTGTTTCCCAGCTTCGTCCCGTCCTTTGTTGGCAGCATCCAGTTGCGCCAGTGCCTCCTGGAGGTCAAGTTCCAGCTTCTTCCGGGCTGCGAGCGCTTGGGCTCGTTGTTTCCTCTCAGCATCCAGTTCCGCCTCCAGCTCCCGAACCTGAAGATGTAACAACCGGGAGAATCCATCAAAAGAGGAGGTCCCTGCCTTGTATTCAAAGGTAGGTTAAGACCTGGATCATCTTGCCTCCTTAACCTCCCCTTGGGGGAACAATCTACTGCCTTGTTCTGGGGTTTTACAAGAGATCGACTCAGGGGAGCTCCCTGGAAGCTCCCATATCTTAATGGCTCCTTGGCACCTCTCACCTGCTTGCTCAGCAGTTTCTTCTTGTCGTCGTTGGCATCATCACGGGTCTGCAGCTCCCTCTCGTGCTGCGCCTTCAGGGCCTGCATGTTGACCTCCAAGCGCAACTTCCCATCTTCGGTGGCCTGAAGCTCGTCTTCCAGCTCCTCCAGCTGGGCTCGCATCTCTTGCACTTGCTGTTCCAAGGCCCGCTTGGAGCGCTCCAGCTCATGCACCTGATTCAAAACAGAGGGAGTGTGTGAGAAAGAAGGGTAAAGGTTCCCCTTGACAATTTTTGTCCAGTCGTGTTCCATTCTAGGGGGCAATGCTCAACCCCTTTTCCAAGCCACAGAGCCAGCGTTTTGTCTGAAGACAATCTTCCGTGGTCACATGGCCAGTGCGACTTAGACACGGAATGCTGTTACCTTCCCACCGAGGTGGTTCCTATTAATCTACTCGCATTTGCATGCTTTCGAACCGCTAGGTTGGCGGGAGCTGGGACAAGTGACGGGCGCTCACTCCATCACGTGGATTCAATCTTACGACTGCTTGGTCTTCTGACCCTGCAGCACAGGCTTCTGCGGTTTAGCCCACAGTGCCACCACGTCCCTTGTGCTGAGAAAGAAGGGTACTGGGTCTTTAAACTGGGTGTGGATGTGGTTGTGAAATACAAGAGTATCCAGGGAAACCGGATGAAGGTTTCTAATAAGGGTGCAGCATGGAATAGGAGCTTCTTTTCCTTCTGAGAAGGGAGTAAGGATCTAAACTCCTGCATCCATTGCAGTACAGCTGCTTGGAAGCAGTACTGCAGTGGATGCAGGAGAATGGACTGAGGCTGAACCTGGACAAGATGGAGGTCCTGAGGGTGAGTGGCCCCTCCATTGGTGGTTTGGGAAACTCCCTCTCTTTTGGGGGAAGAACTCTCATCGAGAAGAGTGAGGTTTGCAGCTTGGGGGTCCATCTGGATCCGGTGCTCACCATGGAAACCCAGGTGGCGTCAGTGGTCCCGTCTGCCTATTCCCATCTCTGGTGGATTGCCCAGCTGTGTCCCTATCTCGATGTTGGGGCACTCACCACTCTGGTCCATGCGCTCGTAATCGCGAGATTAGACTACTGCAAGGCACTCTACGTGGGGCTACCTTTGAGATTGATGCAGAAGCTTCAAATGGTGCAGAATGCAGCAGCCAGACTTTTCAGTGGGACGAGAAAATATCAGCATATTTCCCCCACTCTGGCTGCCTTGCACTGGCTGCCTGTTCGTTTCCACATTGATTTCAAAGTGTTAATGATGACATATAAACGGTTTAGACCTCGATATCTAGTGGAACGCCTCCTCCCACCTAGATCTACCTGAACCACTCATTCTAGCCAGGAAGGGAGGCTGAGGGGCCTAACGCTGAGGGAAGCCCGGAGAGAAAGAACAAGAAACCGGGCCTTCTTGGCAGTGGCCCCTCGCCTCTGGAACAGTCTGCCCCCAGAGATCTGTCTGGCTCCCTCGCTGGGTGTTTTTAAGAGCCAACTTAAGTCCTGGCTCTTTAGGCAGGCTTTCCCTCCTTGATTATTTTTTCTTTTTCCCCCATCTTGAACCATATTACTATTGTTGCTTTTTATTTTATTATACTGTTTTTATTCCATTTCTTTGTTAGCCACCCAGAGTAGACTTGTGTCTAGATGGGCGGGGTATAAATTTAATAAATAAAATAAAATAAAAGGACAGGCTACAGACTCCACTCTCGCGCCAACCTTTTGGGTCTCCCAGTCAGACATCACCCCACTCTCCCTTGCTTTCCCACCAACAGGGGCCTGGCCCGCGCTTACTTACATTCTTGCCCACATCGTCCTTGGAGCTGACCAGGTCATCCATCTCTGCTCGCAGCTGCTTGTTCTGCCTCTCCAGCTCCTCCCGAGCCTCCAGCGCCTCTTCCAAGGCACGGCTCAGCGACAGCACTTTGGTCTCTTTCTCACGGGCATCCGCTTCTGCCCGGTCCCTCTCCTCAGCATAGCGGGCCGAGATCAGCTTCTCCTCCGCCAACATCTGCATGAAACCCAAATAGGCCTTTACTGACGCCCAGGTGGACAACCCTGTGCTCGATCCCTGAAGGGTGCAGAGTCCTGAGCTTGCCAAATCAAGCCAGAAGTCTCTCCCAAGTTGCAAAGATGAGGTAAGCAAGACCACCCTAGCAGGGTTGCAGCCTGGAGGGCACCCTCACCCCCCCCAAAGTGTGTTGTGGGGTGGTCCCATGATGCCCCCCCCCCGCCACTGGTACCACTACTGACCCTCCTCCCTTCTCCAGCTCATGATCACTGCCTTCTGTGCTGCTCAAAGTGGCAGGGATACGGCCATCGGGTTGGAGTTGCTGGGTAGTGGAAGACTGGGCCTCCCCCCCTTCATCCCTATGTCACCCCAAACGACCCCTAGTGATAGCTGTACAACCCTAATGAGGGTTTGTGGGGCCTCTGGTCCACCAGCTGACACTTGATGTGGCCCAGATTACCAAGGGAGGAGGTAATCTGGAAAGAAAGGCATCCAACGCGGCAGGGGAAATGCCCCTTGTTGCGAGGAGAACGGCTCCAAATCCTAGATGGGAAAGTGGTTATTATAACTTAGTAATTTTTTTTTCCGGGACGAGAAAGTGGGGAATAGTTTTGATTGCATGTTTTTCATCTTAAGGTAGACACGGCCTTTTCAGAAAATGAATCTGAAAGGGGTGGAGAACCTGACATCCACTGTGTCTATAACTGTGGTCAGCAAAGGTTTTAGGAGATCTCTTGGGGTGGAGAACCTGACATCCACTGTGTCTATAATTGTGGTCAGCAAAGGTTTTAGGAGATCACTGAGCTAACTCAAGAGAGAAAATGCAGTATTTTTGGGAGGGGGGGGAGAAGCAGCTCCGCTTGGTAGAGAAACTTCAAAGGGAAACATCAGCCTCACCTGGTCGAATTTCTTCTGCTTCTTCTCGAGGGCAGAGACCACCTGCCGCTGCTGGTCGAGAGCCACAGTCACATCGTCCAGCTCCTGCTGCAGCCGAGTGCGCCCTTTCTCCAGCTTGTCACAGGCCTGGACCCTCTCCTCGTAGCGCAAGGAGATGGCTTCCAGTTCCTTGGCTGCCCGGCGCCGAGCTTCCTCTATGGACTCGGCTACGCCGGCATCCTCTTCCAGTTTCTTCTTGGTCTCCATTACCTGTGGACATTTTGACAGGGGAAGTCATGCACAGCCCAAACACACTAAGGAGGTTGGGAGAATTGGAAGCCATGTTGATGAGAGCTTTGTGGATGAAGGAAGAAGACCCAGCTCCTCCTTGTATGACCTTACTCTGATCTCTTCCTCTTTCCTCATTACGCCAAGGACGGACAAAAACCACAGAAGAAGAAAAACATGAAAAAGCATGCATTTATCAACTTTGTTTTCTTTTGCGACAATTTTTAGCATGTTCTCAGGAAACCTGACTGGAAAGTGGGGGGTGAGCTGTCTCCCTGTAGCCGTGTTATTTTCCACACATGCCATCTCCACTGAAGCGCTATTTAAGTTTATAGGCAGTTTCCCAAGCATCGGTGACAGGAAGGAGGTGGCAGAGAAGCAAAGCCGTCTTTCCCTTTTGTGAGCAGCTAGAGGGGGGGAAACCTGGGAGAACTGGGCCAGGATTTACATTCTCCTAGTCCAAACAGTGAGTAGTAGTTTTTCCTTCAATACTCAGTTTACTCAAGATTTAAAAACCTGGCAAAGATTTCATAAAATACTTTTCTCTCCTTTTGGACTAATAATACTCACATGCTGTCAAGCCCTTTCTGACTTACAGCAGCCCTTTCCCAAGTAAAGAGTACTTATAAGTGATTTATTATTCCCTTCTTCTAGAGGCTCCCTGAGACTGTGCAGCTTGCCCAAGGCTACACAGGCTGGCTCTTCTCCCAAGACACAGTGTGGGATCAAACTCCCAAACTCTGGCTCTGCAGCCAGATACCTAAACCACTGAGCTGTCCAGCCAGCTTTTTTGGACGATGGTTCCTCAAATCCCCCAGCCAACATGGGTCACAGGTTCTGGGAACTGTGATCCATAAAAAGAGATCATAAAAAGAGTTCTAAGCTCAGAGTCACATTCCACAAAACCTTCTGAAACCAGAATGCTTTACCCCCCTGCTGGGGTAGAGGTGGTGGCAAGCTGGGGGCATAAGTTTCTTTTTTTGCCAGTTCTTTCCATCTCACCTGCTGTTGCAAGCTCTGGATTTGGCGGGTGAAGTTGGCTTTGGCCGCCTCCTCTTCCTCAAGCTGTTCCAGAAGGGCTGTTTTCTCCTCTTCCAGCTGACGGACCCGTGAGCTCAGATTCAGTTTCTGCCGTGTCTCCTCCTGAAGCAGTTCCTGCAATTGGAGGGGACCAGGACACGAGGAGGAAAAAGCATGTGAGGAGCTACCAGCTGTCCTCCTTTCACGAAGAACAGAGTCTTGAAATCCAGCCATCTTCCTTCTTGCAAAGAAAAACCAAGAATCCTAGTTCTCAGCCAGAGCTATGAAAAGTTATTTTTCCCGGATGACAGTGCTAAGCATCTGGCCACCCTAACTGGGGAGACTAAGAGCTATTACTAAAACGACTTTTCCAAGCTTTGATCTCAGCACACCCCCGGTCTCAAGAATATTAGAGCTTCCCTAGAGAACCCAAAAAAGGCTTGAGTGTAAAGGAACCGCTAATCCAACTCTTAATTACCAAACAAAAGGGGTGAGTTCACTTTTCACACGTGGCTGGACTCCAACACCCTTCTGCCCCTTGCCTGCATGGCCCATAGGCAGGAACGACTGGAGCTGGTATCCAGCGACATTCAGCTGATGACATGCTTGCAACCCTGCTTTGAGTCTCCTTTACGATGCAAGGCAAAAACTGTCATGGTATAGAGTGGAATTTCCTTGCTGGTGGATCTCAAATTACCGTATTTTTCGCTCCATAAGACACACCTTTCCATAAGACGCACCAATTTTTTAGGAGAAGAAAACAGGAAAATATAATTTGTTTTCTTCGCTCCATAAGACGCACAGACTTTCCACCCCCCTGTTTTGTGGGGGAAAAGTGCATCTTATGGTGCGAAAAATACGGTATGTTACATGCTATCTCATGAGCACCATCAGTGCCAAACCCTACTTGTTTTAAAGAGTTTTAAAGTAATGAAACAGATTTTAAAGTATATTTTTATGATAACTTGGTGCTGATATGCTTTTATGACCGTCACAGCCTCTTTTACTGAATTTACTGTAATTATTTACTGACATGTTATGATTCCACTGATGTAAAAACAGCTAAACATACAGGCAGACTAGGGCAGACTCATCTACAGCAGTGGTTCTTAACCTTGGATTACTCAGGTGTTTTTGGACTGCAACTCCCAGAAGCCTTCATCATCAGCTGTGCTGGCTGGGGTTTCTGGGAGTTGCAGTTCAAAAACACCTGAGTAACCCAAGGTTAAGAACCACTGATCTACAGTATTGGAAACACACAGACGTTACAGACCAATCAATGTTCCTCCACACTCCAACCTATGATACAGGTCACATTTATTCCCATTTTATAGGCACAGATAATGGAGGTCAAAAGGATCTATGACTTATCCAAGGAGACTTTATCAATCTGTGCCCAAGTTTTGATTAAAAATAGCACTCCAGAAGATCAAAGGGCAGATTCAGTTAATTGCTGCCCTTTCTTCTTCACTCCTTCCTCTTCTGCTCAACGGGTAGAGTCCTTTGAGTGATGCAAGGAAGGCAGTGTGCTCTTACCTGAGTATCCTGCAGGTGGGACTCCACACTGGCCAGGTCTTTGGCAAGTTTTATTGCCTTGGACTCTGCACCTCCTAGGGTACCCGAGACGCCATCCAGCTCATTCTGTTTCCAAAAGATAAAGACAGGAGAGAAAGGGAGTCAAGGGGAAGGAGGTGAAAATGCATTTTAAGAAACAAAAGCATCAACCATTCATAAGTGGACAGCCAGGGATATGGTCATGGCTGCGTATGCCGTGCATCTACCAACAAGCAAGGGTTCTGGTGTCTGGTTGCACAGAATGCACCATCTTGAAGAACCTGCATTTCTTGCTTATGAAACCAAGCATATTGTGGGTTCTCAAGGGTAGGGAGGAAAGTATTAAAGCTGGATGGTTTGCGAAAGCTCAAGCCAACAGTTGACTGGACAGGGTTGGTGACCGTTCTGCAACAAGGTAAAGGTAAAGGTTCCCCTTGACAATTTTTCTCCACTCGTGTCCGACTCTAGGGGGTGGCGCTCATCCCGCTCTTCAAGCCATAGAGCTAGCGTTTGTCCGAAGACAATCTTTCCGTGGTCACATGGCCAGAGTGGACAGCCAGGGATATGGTCATGGCTGTGTATGCTGTGCATCTACCAACAAGCAAGGATTCTGGTGTCTGGTTGCGCAGAATGCACCATCTTGAAGAACTTGCATTTCTTGCTTATGAAACCAAGCATATTGTGGGTTCTCAAGGGTAGGGAGGAAAGTATTAAAGCTGGATGGTTTGCGAAAGCTCAAGCCAACAGTTGACTGGACAGGGTTGGTGACCGTTCTGCAACAAGGCTATTTCCATAATAAACAGCCTCTGACCTTGCTACAATCTACCATTCCCCTGCACCCCAACTTGCCAGGTTACCTCCCATCTTTAGGGCCAGTCCTATGACAGCCTACTCTCTGAAAGTGAAGGATAAAATTAGCAGCCTCTTCCACTCCATGTACAAGAGTCAGGTGGACTGGTTTTGGAGAGTGCCCAATAAAATTAAGGCATCAGGCTGTTTTAGGGAACCTGGAACAAACTACTGTACAGTATATAGCGAAAAGGATCAGAAACAGAGCCCAGGAGTTAACTACACAGAGGTTGCCACTGCAGCTGCAAGGGTGTGCTGGCTAAGGCTGTCACCCACTCTGTAACATTCTGGTACTATAGTCTCTCGCCCATCTACCATCCCAAGACTACTCAACATTTTCCTAATCATCTCAAAGGAAACCCACATGGACAACATTTAGGTGGATGTGTATAAAAAAACAATGCAATAAATATGTCCTCCGTAAGTCCTAGTACATGGCTAAAATCCTATTGCATCGATATGCCAGCAGAAGGGAAATAGCAGAAGCAAAGCGAAGAAGCGTGGCTGATGATTAACAAGTCCCTGCTGGGATTCTTCTGCTTGTTTGGTGGCTTGGTGTATCACCAGGAATCTAAACTGGAACTCATTAATTAGCAGCCATTTGATACTGTGAGTTAAGCTCTTCCCCTTGTGGCAGCGTAACAACACAACAGGATTTTGGCTTATTAAAAGTGTACCTTACTTTGCAGCCCACGAGGGCCTCCAAAGCAAAAAAAAGCACCAATCCAAGAGAGAGAGAGAGAGAGAGGTTCTTTAAAAACAGATAAAAGGCAATGGCCAAAACCTCATTTTGAAAGCCAATATTCTTTAAAAACAGACGAAGAACAACTCTAGGAGTCTGCTTTAAAGCTGGTTTCAAACACCAAACAATACAGTCTGGGGCCATCTACTGAAGACGTATCCAAGATGGCGCCCACCTGACTTCTCTTGGGAGAGAAATCCACAATTGGACAGACGCAAAGCACATTTTCTGGCCGGTTCTATCAAGCTGGAAAGGCTTTGGGCAAACCATGTCTCTGCCATTTTCAAGGACAGGCTAGCTAGGAACAAAAGAGGCTCATCCCCAGAAGGCGATCGCTAGATGACGAATTGGCCACAGGAGCTATCAACTCAACAGTGGCATTTGAACATTTGCAACAACAGAAGGGAAGGCCTGCTTTGAGGATGGAAACACAGGTTCCCAAAGTATCCAAGGGAATCCATTCTAAATGCAGGGTTGTGTGCATTGGCTTGGCACAAATTCAGGACAGACAGAGGAAACATTAATAGATCTACGGGTGTTCTGAGGTAAAGAGTGGAAAGCAGGAGATTTGGGAACAAGGCCCTGAAAAAAGATGCCTAGTGGGGCCAGAGAAAGCAACCTGAAAGGCGACCGCCTGGCCAAGCACATCTCCCACCCATCCATCCAGACACACCTGCAGCTTCCCCAGCTTCTCCGTGAGCTCAGACTTGGCTCTTTCACTCTCGGCGGCCCGGAGCTGCAGCTCTTGGACTTGGCCTTCCAGCTTCTTCCGCCGTTGCTCCGACTCCAGCTTGGCTCCTTGGAGGACTTTTAGCTCCTTCTGCATCTCAGCATTCTCCCCTTCCAGGGCTTGCTTGGTCTTTTCCAGTGTCGCTTTGAACTGGGGGGGGGGCAACAAGGAGGTGGATGTGAGAAGAGATGCCTCTCTTCATAAGCAAACTAAGGCTAGGATCCTAATCCCACTGACTAGGAGTTCAGCAGGATTTACTTCTGGGCCAACAGGCTGGGAGAGTCAAAGGCACTCCCCCATACTTTTTTTTAATTAAAAGAGCATTAACCCAACTTATCAAGGCAGAAAGATCCCCTACAAAAACCAGCGAATAAGACACTCCTTGACCCTCCACAATTCATTTGAATTTTATATTATAGGATGGGTGAACTCTAAATACAAAACGACTTCATTTTGAGCCACTGCATCTTCTCAACCCACCCCAAAGCTGCACAAACCAGCAGCCCAAGCTCTTCAAAGTAGGGCTGGGGGAATCTTTAGCTATTGGTCTCCCTGTTTGCAACTCCAGTTCCCAGAATTCTCACCCAGCACAGCGGAGGGTTGACTGTGGATGCCACGGTCAAAATATCTGGAGGACCAAAGGTTCTATGTCCCAAATGTTAACCCACTACATCTCTTAACCAGAGATTAAAAGGTTACTTCTTCATAGTTAAATCCACTACGGTTACTTGGAGCCTGGAGGGATTTTTCTGGGAGTTGTTTGAAAAAAACCTGCCTGTTTTAAGTCCTGCAGTTATGCATTGCAACATGTAGAAAGCCATTCACTGCTATTACTTGTTGACATTTTCAAAAGGCATCATCCGTTTGTTGGCTGTTTCACTTATACCTTTTTTTTCTGCTGCTTTGCAGGGAAGGAGGTGCTTAGGACAGGAGAGTTCAGATAATGGCTTACAACTCACATTTTCAAAAGGCATCATCCGTTTGTTGGTTGTTTCACTTATACCTTTTTTTCTGCTGCTTTGAGGGAAAGGAGGTGCTTAGGACAGGAGAGGTCAGATAATGGCTTACAACTCGGAAGTCCCATCAAAATGGGAGCTTAAAAGTAACAAAATGTGATTTTGTTGTGCCCCTTATGACTGCTACCTAGCATGTAGCTCATTACAGTCAGCTTTGTCACTTGTCTCTCCCCAGCACTGCCTCAGCTTGCCTACCCGGCGTGTCTGCTCCAGCTGCTCTGACAGGTCTTCTAGGGCGCTCGTGTGGCGCTGCCGCATCTCCAGCACTTGTGCTTCATGCACCTTGACTTCGTCCTCAATGGTCTTCTTGAGCTCCGTCACTTCCTGTTCACGCTTTGACCTGCACAGTGTGTGTGTGGGGGAAACAGGAAGGACAGGTCCAGCACATTAGATGGGGAGTACACACATGGGGACATCAGAGCAGAGATTCCCAGGAACAGCAATTTGCTCTCAGATTTTGGAACCCCCTCCCACAGGAGGCCAGACTGGCCCCATCTTGACTATCCTTCCACAAGCAGGCAAAAATGTTTCTCCTCAGGGAAGCCTTCCCTCAGTGACTGACTTGCCTGAGTGGAATTTTTAAAATTGATTGTTATGCACAATGGCATTTGTTTGTTCCTTTTTAATACTTTAATATATGAATACTTATTGTTTTTAGCTTTAATAGTGTCTTTTAAGGATTAAGCTGCCTCTCTATACTCATTGTTCTCAGCCTTAAATATTGACTTTTAATGATGTAAGCCACCTTGGGCCCTTTTTAAGAAGAAAGGTGGAGTTTAAGATGTTTTCAGTAATAAAACAATAGTAGTTTATACATCCACATCTTCTGGCTAAGACAGGGCAATCCCAAGGGTGAAGCCAGCCCCAAACATCTCGGTCATTTACCGTAGCTCTTGCTGTGCAGCCGTCGAGTCCAGCGTGTCCTCGAGTTCTGTCTTCAGTGCCTCCAGCTCCTCGCCCAGGTCACGCCGCTGTTTCTCGGCCTTGGCACGGGCCACCTTCTCGGACTCCAGGTCTTCCTGCACTTCTGCCAGCTGAGCTTGTAGCTCACGGAGGGACTTCAACACGGCGTTCTTCTGGGCTGATTCGTCCTCCACTCTGCAAGGTGGGCAGGAAAGGTCAGAGGGGAAAGAAAAAAAAGGGAGGGCAGACTCAGGGGAGACCAACATAGGTTTGGGGGAAGCTAGTGGCAAACAGCATCGAGAAGGGGAGAGAAGGAAAGCAAAATGTTTTTTGGAGGATGCTACAGAAACACAGGGAGGAGACGTTGTGTCTAGAGATGAGCACAAATCTTGGTTCAGAGGTCCAGCCCAATTCACTGCTGAGTTTGCACAGGTGTTGTGCAGGCATGGCACCTTCCCCTGCATGCTCACCCATTCCTCAGGCAATGTGTGCTTCCTTCCCTGCCTCCCCAGCATGACTACTTACCCACTTTTTGCGGCGTGCTCTTCCCTTTTCTGCCTTCTCCATCAGCTGCCCACTCAAAGGCAGCACTACAGGAATCCTTGCCCCACCTCCTCATCTGAGTGGGTAGCTGACAGAGGAGGCAGAAGAGGAAAGAGCACACTGCAAAAGGTGAGTGGGTAGTTGCGATGAGAAGGCGGAGGAGGAAGTGCACATCACCCAAGGAATGGGCGAGCATACAAGGGAGGCAGGAGGGCGCTGTGTCCACACAATACCTGTCTGAGTGCAGCAATGAACTGGGCCAGACCTCGTGCCCATCTCTACTTGTGCCCTCTGAATGTAATCCAAGCCTTTTATCTACTACAACGAAGAACAATTTTGGCTTCGCTTTAAAGAAGCCTTAAAACTGTAGTTCAGCAACCCAGCTTCATTAGACAATTATAAGTTTCCAAGATTCTCCTTGACTCAGTTGAGGACTCAAGGACTAGGATTCCTGCAGCACTGCCTTTCAGTGGGCAGCTGCCAGAGGAGGCAGAGAAGGGAAGTCTATGCTCCTGTTGCAACTGGACAATTCCACGAAGAGCAGGAGAAAAGTAGCACACACCAGCTGGTGAATGGGGAGCCAGCTGGTGGGGTGGAAGAAGGGAACACATGACACCTGTGGTGCCACACTGACAAATCAGCACAGAACCTCTGAACCGAGCTTCATGCCCATCTCTAGTCGGCTTGCTTACCTGGCTAGGGCTGCCTGCAGCTCAGCCTCCTTTCTTGCTAAGGCCTGACGGAGCTCCTCCAGCTGCTGCTGCAGTTCTGCCACCTGCTCCTGCAGGTCCCCGGCCTCCCCATCGAGCTTGCGCTTCAGTTTCTCCAGCTCCTGGCGTGCTTTTTCTTCCTTCTTCAGCCGATCTGGAGGGGAGGAAGTTAGGGTGGGGGTAGGGGGAGAATAAACAGGAATGTCAGGCTAGGGAACAGGCTCCCATAATTTGGGAGAGCCCTGAAGGATGATAGAAACACATGCACTCAAGAAGCTTTCTTATATCAAATCGGACTCGAAGGATTACACCACAACTCTGAACTGGTTGGTTTCATGGCTGGTGAGCTTGTGACTCTGATACCCACCATTGGCCAATGATGAAGTATGATGTGGACATCAATTCATCAACCTCTCGAGAGCAAAAGGATCCCAACTGTGACATTTCAGGAGTTCCTACAAGATTCCTTTCACAAGCATCCTATGAGAGATCTCAGAATTGTAGAATTGGAGGGATACCCCAACAATCATCTACTCAGATCTCCTATCCATGAAAGAACCTACAGCTAAATCATCCCTGGCAGAAGGCCACCCAAACTGTTTAGAAACCTCCAGTGGAGGAGAGTTCACCCCAGATCCGCCAAGGTGATCTATTCCATTGCTGAACAGATCTCACTGGATATTCTTTGACTGGAGGTCCTGCAGACTGAATCTGGGGCCTTCTGCAAACCATCCGTGTGTGTGCTCCTAACGTATGGTCCACAGTTCGGAAAGTTTTTATTATTATTTTTTTTTAGAGTCCACCTCCCAGAATTCTGGAGTTAGCACAGCCAGTGACCACAATGGCCAAAGGATCTGGGGAGATACTAGTCCAAAATCTAATTTTTCCCAGTGGTTTTGGTGACCTTCAAGTTATTCTCCATCCCACTAAGAGATATTTTCTGAGCAGGTGGGAAGTCTTGGAGTTTGGGGACAGACACCTCCCTTGCCAGAGAAGCACATGGTTCCCCAAGCAGTGCCAGTCCTTATAAAATCTGTGTAGTTTTTTGGACAAGTGAAAGTGAGATTCCCCACCACTGTTTGAACTGCCAGCAGCAGAACCTTGGTGGTCCATCTCTGCCCATCACACTGGCCCGTTCCCTGGCGCACCTTCCATGTCAGCCATGACCGCTTCGTATTTATTGCGCAGTTTGGACAAGCTCTTCACCTTCTCCTCCTCCTCCGCCATATGAGAAGTGAATTCTGAGAGACGTTCTTCCATCAGCTTCCTCTCCTGGGGAGGCAACAACCAGAAAGGAAAATCAACCCAGAAAGTGGTGGGAGAGGGAAAGAGAAGAGGAAAAAGGAAACCTGGTTCCTCTCTCCCAGGAGGCCACCTTTTCCATAAGCCACCAATCTTACATACTCTCTTTCAGATTCAACTCTCCATCTTCTTCTGAAATATTCTACAGCTGTAGAGTTAAGGCCTGTTTCTCCTCCTAAGGAAAACAGCTCCTCACACACTGAAACTGGCGTTCCTTTTTTCAGCAGTCATTAAGTCTAGATGTTCAGCTTAGATGGGTGGGACACATGAACAGTTTAGACAAGGAGGGGCATGTCCTCAGTTTTAGCCAAAAGGCCACATGCCTTGCCAGACAGTGTGCTGGGAACAGTGTAAGTGCACACAAATGTATGTGCACAAACACGGACACACCCCTTTCCTCCATCCACCCAATATCTCAGCATGCATGGATGGGGAAGTTTAACCATTCTCCTCATTGCCTATTGGCGTGTAGGAATGACATGGCTGGGACTGAGATGAACCAAAAGAGGGCATGCCTCCGTACGGTCCTCTCAACCATGATCGTCAGTCTCTGTATTGCGAGTAGGAACCATGAGTGGGGTTCCCCAGGCTGCTGACTGCACATGCGGCCTAGATGGCCAAAGGTTTGTCTGCAGCGCATGAGTATGCACATGTGCATCCTATGAATAACCTTCCTTAGCAATGGAGTGGGGGGGGAGAGACAGAGGAAGGCCACACTCACTTTCTGCAGCTTTGAGTTCTGGTCTTCCAGCACCAGCAGGTCCTCCTCCATTTTTTTCAGCTTGGCCTCTGTGCTCACTTTCTCCAGCTGCAGCTTCTGCCGAGCAGCCTCTTCCTCCTCCAGTTGCTCTTCAAGGTCCTAGAAGGGAAAAAGAGGGAGGAAGGGGGTGGGGAGAAGAGAGTTAATGAATATTTGAGACATTGTCATAGCTTCTCACAGATCTTGGGTTCTCCAGAAAATACTGGACTACAGTTCCCATCATTCCAAGCAGCATGGCCATGCTAGATAGGCTAATGAGAGTTATAGTATCAGAAGAACAGCGGTTTATGGAATGCTATTGTCTAATGACAGGTGTCCTGATCCAAATTTAGAATGGAGAGGATAGTCCGGTACGTAGATCAGCATGTCTCAATAGAATGAGCAGACCTGGGTTCAAATCCCCGTTCAGTCGTAATCACTGGATTACCTCGAGTCAATTACTATCTGACCCTTTCCCTGCTTTGCAGGGCAATTCTTATGAGAAAACAGAGGGACCTGAGTGCTCTGGACATAACAAGGTAGTCAGAAAAATTCATTCTAATGACCAGAAAAAGCTTCTCTGAACAAAAAGTCAGTTTTGTTTTTTTTTTAAATGGGATGGGGCCAGGTCAGCTTTTCCAGAAAGGGAGCATCACAAGCCACAGAACCACCAAGCAACCAAGCCTACCTTATGCATAACAACCAAGCTAGTTATGACCAATATTATATATATATTTTTGGTGTGCCCACTGCAATGTTTGCCTCAAGTGAATTTCTTCAGCAAAGTCACAAAGCAAGGTGCACATGTATATTTTACGGTAAACACACCCACCCCCTACAGAGGGCCTAGTGTACCAATTTAATTCTGTTCCACTCAGAGAAACGGGGCGGTGTGTGGGGGACATCTCTTCCCTTTGGTGCTGCTCTTCCAACCACCCCACCTTCACACCTGGACGTGCTGCTGCATCTTCTTCTTGTCCCCCTGCAGTTGCTGGCATCGCTCCTCCTCTTCTTCCACGCGTGACTCCAGCTCGTGAAGGATGTCTTCCAGCTCCTGTTTCCGGGCGGCCAACCGGGCCCGCATCTCCTCAGCTTCAGCAAAAAGCTCCGTCTCAGCCTGCAGCTGCTCGGCCAGAATGGTTTTCTCCTCTGAAAGCTACCAGGGAGTAGGAAGCAAGGAGAGACAGTCATGACTTTACTTAAAGAGTTTCTTAAGCGCTGTCAACTTTAGGAAGCTATAAAACCTGCAAGCGGGGATTCTTCCTCAGCCCTGCTTCGTGAGACCTTTCTAAACTAAAAACGGAAACAATGGCAGCTGGAATCTTCTATAGGCAATGCAGGCATTCAACCACTGAGCTACAGCACCCCAGACGTCAGCTTGTCCAGAGTGTAAAGAGGATTGGAGGGAGGTGGTATTTATTGGAGGGAGATATTTAACAGTATGGACTAGAAGCTTGATGCAAAATGTAACGGGAGATGTTCAGTGTGATGTTTGCAACAGAAGAAGGAAAACATACTGTTATCAAATCAAAAGGAAGATTTTAGCAAGCCTATCGAGAATCAACACACAGCAGGAGAGAAGGCTAATAAGGAGGAGTTGTGGACTCTCTGGTTAGAGGGAAAATAACAAGGAAGTAGAAGAGAATTTCAACTCAAAGTATGGAGGCAGTACAGGGTGGAATTGTGGGCTTAAGGGGTACGGCAGCAGCCGGTGTGTTCTTGGCTGCCCCCTCTATTTGCTCACCTGCTGGTATTTGTTTTCCAGCTCCTTGAGGTCCGTTTGGGTTTTTATGTGTTTCTCCTGCACTTTTTGCAGCTCCAGAGCTTTCGCTTGCATTACCTCATCCTGGCGCGTCACCTGCAACAGGGGCTTCACCTGAAGAAAGACGAAGAGAGGGGGCTGAGTCAGCCATGCGAGGAAGGGATCGGGACTATCTCAAATCCCTTTCGCTTTAACATCAACTCTGCTTAACGCCCAGAAAGGCCAAGGAAAGGAGCAAGACCTGGTAGCGGGCAGGAAGGACTGAAAGTATGTGGCTCAGGCTCCCGAAGCCTCATAATAGGCACATGCTTCTCCCTACAATCCTGAGGGCTTGGCACTTGATTCACTGACACACAGAACCGGCAGATACAGCACAAGCCGATGCTTTCCGAAACCTTTTCTTTCTGCTAGTGCGGCAGGGCTACAGTGGGAGACGCCAGAGTTATTCATACTTTATGGCCTTTTACACCATCTACTTAAGAGGCTAAAGGCGCACAGCTCTACCAACCTGGCTTCTGTTCTGGCTCACCTTGGTGAAGAGACGCCACCACTGCCAGTGGCGCAACTTGAGGTAGGCGGCACAGTTGCGTTGCATGACCTTGAGGGCACTCATCTGCTGTTGCTTCTTCATGAAAGCCCTGGGAGGGTGGAAGAAAGGAAGAACGCCCCCCATGTGCGTAGATAGTTAGCTTCACATGGATAGCCTGGGTTAGGAAATTTAGGTGGGGATTTTGTGAGCCACCACTGATCATACAAGTTTTTGCCCTTTCCCTGGCCAGTGAGTGGAATAAGCCCTTGCTGATTCATAACAGGCACTGTTTACATGGGGTGGGGAGATGTCAAGCCCTGGCTGGCAAGGCAATTGGGGGCAATATCCTCTATTAGCCTTTTCCCAGCCAGCACCCTCCACAATGGGCTGGACTACAACTCCCGTCAACCTCAACCAGCACGGCCAAGGGTGACAGGTGACGAGAGCTATACTCCAGCAACGTCTGAAGGGCCAATGATGCCCCACCTTCACTCTCTTGTGAACAAAACAAACAGATCAATCCAAGGCCTTCTCTAGCATTCTTGGTTTCTGCAGAGATGCTGGGCAAACTCTGTCCTGTCCTCCCAGGCTTCCAGTGGCTCCCAACCCATATGATGCTCCAATTTATTTTTTTAGCTGTGACTATAAGCGCAAGACCTTCTGACCTGACACTGTCTTCTTTTGGGGCTTTCAATGGTATTACAATAGGAAGAGTCCATTGCTTTTTGTAATAATGTCCTTGCAAGTCTTTTTAAAAAGTCTGTAATAAGATATATCAAAATATCTAAGCATATATGTTCTGTTACATTATATTCTGCTATGTTAGTATGCATAGAGGAGGACAACATTGTTCACCGTGCAGAAAATGAGTACTATACCACTTTCTGCCCCAGAGTGGACTTCTTCTGCATGAAGAAGCATTCAATCATGCCCGTTCCTCTTCCCGTCTGAAGTCCTAGCATAGTCTTACCAGCTCATCTTCTATTTCAGTTTCCTCTACTTTCAACTTCCAGTCACCTTTGCAGATCCTGTGCACATTTTGCACATCTGTAGGGAATTCCAGCACCTTTTTCCTAATAAACCCCTTTCCAGAGAATACAAGTCGTTGGCAGCTGGCCATTCACATCAGTGATAGCTTAGTGCTTACTTGCGGGCTAAGTATCCCCGGGCCGCTGCCTGGAATGATACTATAATGTCTGTAATCTTCAGGTCCCGTTCCTCTTCCAGGTGAGCCAAAACCCCGGCCCGGAAGAAGATCTTACTCTGGCCAATGCGGTAGAGGTTGGGGTCCAACTCCAAGGCTTTGATCTGTAGGGAGGGAACAGACAAGACACCATGGAAGACCCTTCACCATCCATTCCCCCTGGTTCTCCAAAACTGGATTAGAGGGTCTCAGACCATCCGAGCCAGCAAACCACACATACCATGCGCTCGCAGGCCTGCTTCCCATCCATGAATCCTTTGGGAATGGCATTTGGTGTTAGGATCTCATATCTGTCAGGAAAATATTTTTAAAAAACAAGTTAAAAAAAAACCCCAAACTGTGGAAGTGCAACCACGTGGGACCTACACGCCAATCATCCCACTAAAGATGATACTGGGTGAGGTTGAGATTCCATGGAAAGCAACAAGGAAAATCTCTAGGTACGAAGGAGAGTCTCCCTAGAGGCACACTGGTAAGACGGAGCCCATAGGTACCTTTGCCGGAATTCCTGAAAGATGATGCGGTTGGGGAACCCCTGCCGACAAATGCGAATTCCCTCCAGGACTCCGTTGCAGCGCAGTTGGTCCAACACGAGGTGAGGCTCCAGCTTTCCAGCCTGTAACCGGAGGCAGGAGAAACCAGGCTTGAGAGGAACGCTTCGGAGACCTGGATGTTGTTCTCAAGGGTTGGGGTAGGGGCTCACCACATTTAGAAGCCAGCCTCGAAGCATTACTTTCTCGCTTTTTAATTTCTCTTCTTTTCTCTCTAAGATTTAACACCTGTCCATTCCTTCCAAGAGGCAGAGGGCGGATAGCTGAGGGGGAAGCTGGAAGTGCAATTCCCCCACCGTGCCTCCTGCAAGCAGAGCCAGCCTGGGTGGCCTTGGGCAAGCTGCAGAGTCCCAGAAGGCAGGAATGGTATACTCTCTACAGAACCCTGAAAAGGGTCACTGTTAAGTCAGAATTTACTTGACAGCACATGATGATTGTTGTTGTTATTCCTTCAAGGAGCCCAGGGCAGCATCTTTTGGGGCTGGCAATTCTTTTTCCCCTCCTACCAATGACAAGACTATGACAAACCTAGTCCCCCAAGAATGGAATGGTTGGGTGGGCAGTCAAATGAGGTCTGCCTAGCTGACGTCTGGCCCTCTAACTACTACATTCTGATTATTTCCCTTCTTTAAAGTTTCCTACGCCATACTCTCATGCAGCCATGCTCTCTTCTTCCTTTTCTCCTCTGATCCACTCAACTAAGCTGCCTGAATAGATTTCTCCTCGTGGGGACAATGGGCACCAAAAAGCACCCCTACGGCCAAGAACATAGCATCTCAGCCAAGGAAACCCTCTCCAATCTAGTCTTTGCTTCCACACAAAGCCAGGATTGGGCCTTCTGTGACACAAAAGGCGGCTCTCCTCCCTTCAGATGAAGTCACACAACATCTTTCATGTCTTCCCTCTTAAACGTATTCATCCTGCTGTGCTCACCACAGGCCCTAAAGCACTCACTGTATGAAAAACTCACTCTTTTCTCATGGTTGGGGATGATGCAGCGCACAAAATTGGGGTTGGTGTTGCGTAGCGTTGACATGAGCTTGGAGAGAGATTCCTTGTACAGCTGCCCCACGGTCCGGAACATTCCCTTCTTCGTCTTGTACGAGGCACCAAAGGTGAGGTCTCCCATCCCACTCACCTGGTCCAGACCTACAATCCGGTCCACTAGGGAGCAGGAAAAAGGACTTTTTAACCTCGCAGCTAGTCTACCTGTAGTAGACTTTTGTTCCCATTGGAACAAAAATTAACGGCGGGCTTTCTCCCTCCCTCCTTTCCGCTCCCCTCCAACATAAACATACCATGTTCCAACGATCCCTTGTACAAGAAGGGAAACAGAGCTCCTATTTCCCCACCCATTTTTTTGCCAGTATCCTGTTCCATAGCTCCATCAGCATAATGGGAGTGACGACAACAGTGAGAGCAGATCATCAAAGGTTTCCGGCTTTGATTCTGGGTTGACTTAATCTTACTGCACATGAATGGCATGCAAACCAAGTAGGAAACTTTTCATTAGAGACAACTCGCTGTTGCCAGTGACAACACTCCTGCTACGCTGGTGGAACTACAGAATAAGACACTGAACATTCAAAATCGCATGTCTAGAAGACATTAGCAGGGACTCTTGGCAGCCCTCAAAAGAAAGGTTGTTCAAGGTTCCAGTCCAGTCCACCTCCTCCCCTTTCTTCATCTATACTATCTAGATTACAGGAAAGCAGGTGGGAGTTTGGAAGACAAGGTTATGCGTACAGTAGCAAGCTCTGACTATTAGTCCAGCAGCACGTAGCTGATGTGGCCTCATCTATCCAAAAGGCCTTGGATGGCCAAGGACTCTTTGGACCCTCCGGGCTGCCACTGGCTCAGAAGTGACCAAAGCAGCCCTGGGCTCAGCTGCTAAGTGGAAAGGCGACGCCACAGAAGGTGGGAAAAATGCTTTGGGGTTTTATTCTCAAAGTCTACAAGCAATTTTTGGGGTTGTAAAGTAAAAGGTCGCCCTTGACATTTAGTCCAGCCGTGTCCGACTCTGGGGCTCAGTGCTCATCCCCGTTTCCAAGCCGTAGAGCCAGCGTTTTGTCTGTAGACAGTTTCTGTGGTCACGTGGCCAGCGGGACTAGACTACCTTCCCACCATGGTGGTACCTATTTACAGTATTTACTCGCATTTTTACGTGCTTTTGAACTGCTAGGTTAGCAAGAGCTGGAACAAATGATGGGAGCTCACTCCATCACGTGGATTCAAACTACTGATCTTTCAGCCTTGCAGCCCAGAGGCTTTGCGGTTTAACCCGCAGTGCCACCATGTCCCTTGGGTTGTGTTGCTTAAATATACTGGTGGCTAGAGAGAAGGTAATATTTAATATGGCAAGACTCCCTTCAAAAAAATATATATATAGCAGAGTCTATTTTCACTACGTAATGCATAATTTTTAATTTGAACAATGACATGTTACTAACAAATAGTTTAATTTTTGCTGTACACCTTCAACAGTGGCCCCAAATTCCCCCTTTCCAAATAGCATTTTGGAGGTAATGAGTTACCTATTACTTCAAAAAATATTTGGGGGTACGAGTTTTGACAATGCTGTCAAATGTCACGTAACTTTTAAAAAGTAACAGGGGTGGTAAAGTTATTATCCAAAAAGGAATGTTGTCACTTTGAACAATGTATTTCTGAGTTCCTACTATGAGTAAATTAAATCACAACTGCATCGCCTAGAACAGTGCTTCCCAATCTTGGGCTCCTCAAGACGTTCTTGGACTGCAACTCCCAGAAGCCTTCATCACTAGCTGTGCTGGCAAGGGCTTCTGGGAGTTGCAGTCCAAGAACACCTGGGTTACCACTGGCCTAGAGAATACAGAAATTAGGACGGACAGGTAGACTTCCCCCCATTTCATAAGAACACACAAACCCTTCCCTCATTATAAGAAAGCGGTGTGTTGTTTGTATGTGGGGAAGAAACGTACTTTCCGCTGGACCCTGTGGTGCCACGGCATAGCTGTCAAAGAAATACACCTTCTGTATATTCTGGATCTCTGGAGGCAGGAGAGGACAGGAGAGGCACATGGGGAGAGGGGGAGGTGAAGTTTCACAAAGCCATCCATTGTGGGAGGGAAGAGACAGGTCAAGGAGAGAAGAAGACAGAAACAGCACATAGCAACGTGGTTAGTACCAGCAGCGACAGAGAGATTCAAGCACTCCTGAGAAGTTACGATAAGGCACATCGAAGATATACCAGCCATCTTTTTTTTTTCATAAGCAACCATTTTCTTATTAAGATGCAGAGGCTCAGATTAAAGAGAGGCAGTGGCTAGTTCTTTTCCTTCTCGAGGACCTTACCGTCTTTCCAAAGTTCTGCCGTGAACCTGTCTGCGCTCTGGTGGAGAAGAGTGGCCACGTTGTCATTCAAGGGGTCCATGTTTTTCATCAGCCACTCGTCTGCTTTGTAGTCCACCTTTCAAAAGAAAGAGGGATGGAACAGGGAGAAGAGAAATGAAGGCAAGAAGGGTTATCAGAAACCATTGGGTGGGGGATTCTGGGAGCTGAAGCCCAAAAGTGTAGTTTTCCAGCTTGCTTTGATGTACAGTGGTACCCTGCATAACGAGCAATTCATTTAATGACAAATCTGCATAGCGATGTGTTTTTTGCGATTGCAAAAGCGATCGCACTGCGATGTTTTTAATGGCAAAAAATCGCTTTGCGATGATTGGTAAGCGTTTCGCTTACCGATTTTCGCATAGCGATGTTTTAAAAACAGCTAATCGGCGGTTCCAAAATGGCCGCCGGAAAAAAATGGCCGCCCGCAGTGTTTTCATGCCCTTTCCTCGTTTACCAGGCAGTGAAAATGGCAGCCGTATGGAGGATTTTCGCATAACGGTGAGTTTTAAGCCCACAGGAACGCATTGAAGGGGTTTCAATGCATTCCTATGGGCTTTTTTGTTTCGGATAGCGACGATTCCGGATAGCGACGATTTTTCCGGAACGGATTATCGTCGCTATGCGGTGCACCACTGTATATATAAAAGCTGCTTTATACACCAGGTATGTTTTCAAGTCCATCTAGCTCAGCCTCATAATTTTTGTGATGGGCAGCAGTCTTATACAGGCTCCTGGGTTTGTTTGTTTTAGTGTTATTACCAGAGACACAGAGAAACCATTGGGTGGGGGATTCTGGGAGCTGAAGTCCAAAAGTGTAGTTTTCCAGCTTGCTTTGATGTATATCTAAAAGCTGCTTTATACACCAGGTATGCTTTCAAGTCCATCTAGCTCAGCCTCATATTTTTGTGATGGACAACCGGATAGCGACGATTTTTCCGGAACGGATTATCGTCGCTATGCGGTGCACCACTGTATATATAAAAGCTGCTTTATACACCAGGTATGTTTTCAAGTCCATCTAGCTCAGCCTCATAATTTTTGTGATGGGCAGCAGTCTTATACAGGCTCCTGGGTTTGTTTGTTTTAGTGTTATTACCAGAGACACAGGAATGGGGATTGTATAGCCCTCCAAGCATGGTTGCCTATAACTTCCATCAGTCCAAGCCAGCACACCAACTAATAGAGAGGGATACTGGCAGGTCCATACGCTCCTAAATTCCATTTTAATTAAGATTGAACCTCAGACTTCAGGCTGATCACTGAGCTATGAATCTTCACTAAGACACTTTTTTTTTGGCTGCCAGAACCAAAGGTTCCCAACCTGGGGTCGAAAGACATTAACTACAACTTCCACCATTCTTGCTCAGGGGCCAAGGTGGTTGGGGACGGTGGGAGCTATAGTGATAAGAGACCCAGTTACAAGAAGTGCTGGAAAATAAAGAAAGAGGGCTTTTCCTCCCTGCAAACAGGACAACAGCAGGCAGCTGGGTGTGGGCAATATACCAGGAAAGTGGGGGGGGGGAGCCTCGCCATGGGCACACCTTACCCTGCCAGCGTAATGGATGATGCAGAAATCAGCTTTGTCCCGCAGCTGCCGGGGCTTCTGGAACTTCGGGTGGTTCCCCTGTTCCTGGATAATTTTGTCCACAAAGCTCTTATCTGTAGCTTTAGGGAACCAGCATTCCTCATCTAGAAGGGCCAGCACCCCTGGGGGGTTTGCCTGAGGAAAACCAAAATACAGTTCAGAACTCTTAAGAATGGCACAATGGGGATTGCAAGCAGAAGTGAAAAATATTATCCCTGGGAAGGGCGAGTGGAAAGGAGACGTCTACTACACTGATGGGCAAATTAAGGGCCACAGGCTGCAAATGGCTTCTCCAGGGTGTCCCAATTATTTTTGCTCCTTAAACCGCAAGCTGCACTTCCAAAAGCTTCTGGAGGATAAAATTTGACATTTACCGTATTTTTCACTCCTTAAGACGCACCTTTCCATAAGACGCACCAATTTTTAGGAGAAGAAAACAGGAAAATATAATCTGTTTTCTTCGCTCCATAAGACGCACAGACTTTCAACCCCCCTGTTTTGTGGGAAAAAAGTGCGTCTTATGGTGTGAAAAATACGGTAAATCTAATTTTACCCCTGTTTTAGGCCTGAAAAGGCCCTTTTTTTCTGTCCTTTGGTGAGGAGATAATAACATCCTGTTTTCTTTATAAAGGATATTTATAAAGAATTTTATAATTCTTCTTACAATGTTTCTTTATAAAGAATTCTAAAGGCCTAAAGTAAGTCCACAGAGGTGGTATTATGTTTAAATGCAAATTGTGCCTCCTCAAGAGGCTTCTAGGGATGGAATTCAGCACTTGGGGCAAAAATCCCTTTGAAGGCATTCAGGGTATGGCCTCCTAAGGTCCTGGAAAATATAAACAGGAGCCCATGGACTCTTGAGATGTGGTCCATACCTGGTCTACATGGAAAAATGCAAGAAGTTAGGCAATCTGTAGGATCAGATTGGTAAGCCATTTTGTTCTCCCAAATAAAATTAGGATCAATTTCTCTCCAAAGATCAAGAGAAATTTTGGAGACAGTATTCTCAAATGCTCAGACTTAAAACTACCCTTGTATCCTAGTAGAAATGCATCGCCATGAGTACAAGTACAAAAGCCTATATGACATATGCAAGCAAAACAAGGCTCTGAAGTGCGCAAGGCATTGCACATCTGAGTGGAAAGCAACCAATGTACACTCTGTATTTGGCAGAGGATGGTAGCAACCTGAGGAGGCAAGGCAGAGAAGGCCATGGGGGTCAGACTGCCACAAAGGGGGAAGCTTTTTTAAATTGCCACAATTAGCAAAATGGATCCAACTTTCTCCTACCAGTAAAATAAAATATCAGCCCATCGTGTAAAGTTTCCAGCCTAATCTGTTCCTCACTGCCTTCATTTCCTCCTTGCAAGCGTGAACGTAAAAGCACCAGCAAGCAAATACAATTCTCCAACCTGTGATCAGAGAGGCCATTCCCTGCTATTACTTCCTTCTGCTGGATGTACAGACCCAAGTAAAATTTCAGGGATGGTCTCCTTCTTAGAGCTGACCATCAGCTTCCTGGATTCTAATACTGTTGTCAATTTGAACAGAGGGAAGAACCAGAAGGAGAATCTCTCTTTCCCATAAGCAGAGCACAGACTTCTCCTGTTCTTTCCTCAAATAACCAGAGATGGGATTCTCCTATTTCTTGAACTATTTATTTGTTTATTTATTGCATTTATACCCTGCCCATCTAGTCAACTGACTACTCTGGGCGGCTTCCAACAGATATAATAACAATATAAAAATATAACAACATTTAAACATCAGTAATAGAGTTATTCAAGATGGAAACAAATAGGAAAAAATAAATCCAATAATAGCTGAGGGGAAGGCCTGCCTAACATCCAAGTTTTCAATTGGTTTTTAAAGATGCCCAGTGAAGGGGCTGCACGGATCTCAGGAGGAAGATTATTCCAGAGGCGAGGAGCTACCACTGAGAAGGCCTGGTTTCTTGTTTTTTTCCTCCAGGCCTCCCTTGGCGTCAAGCTCCTCAGCCTCACCTCCTGACTCGATCGAATGATACGGGTAGATTCTATTGACTACAGATGCCATAATTCTCTGAGTTTTACCTGATTTACACACACACACCTTACAGACACCTAAATGTGGCTGTGGAGACCTGAACTGGAAAGTTTTGAGGCTTAGCTAGAAAGCTCCAGGCAAGAACTGGGGCAGGAATAGGAATCTTGGGTGGGGCCAGGGCTAGCGAAGCCTCAAAGAAATCCAGCTAAGGCCTTTCTCCCAGGTGGATCACATTTAGGTCTCTGTAAGGTGCAGGAAATAAGGTAGAACTCCCAGAATTGGGAATTAATGGACCCGTCATCCACGAAGTACAGAAATCCCACCCCTACAAATAACCCATGGTATCCCATATCTTGTTTCTTTGATCTTATGATTGCTCACTGGTCTTTCAATGAGGTCGATGCAGGGCTGGAGGTCCAGGCCAAAGTCAATGAAGTTCCATTCAATCCCTTCCCGCTGGTATTCTTCCTGCTCCAGCACAAACATGGTGTGGTTGAAAAGCTGCTGAAGCTTCTCATTGGTGTAGTTGATGCAGAGCTGTTCAAAGGAATTCAGCTGAGGGCATGAAGAGCAGAAGGTTGGAAGAAGGGAAGAAAGGAGGGAGAAAGCACTCAGCCAGAGATCACAGAGGCAATGATTCTTGATATACCTGCTTTACCAAATACTTCATGTGTCAAGATAAACCAGACTATGCACTCTCTCCAAAGGAAGGTAACAGCTATCGAACTGACAATCAACAGAGAAATCAGTTTATGATGACATATTCCCCTAGATGTCTCTTTCTGGATTCAGGGAAAACAGTCAAAACCTTGGATTTTATAGATTGCAAGTGATGCATTGCTAGTTTTTATTCTCTCCCCCCCCACACACACAAAATCTATCTATCCATCTATATAAAATATAGAATAAAAATTAGCAATGCATCGCAACCAATAAAATCCAAGGTTTTGTCTCTCTCTCTCCTACTGAACAACTTGCAATTTTTTCAGTAATTCTACAGCATCTACTGCTGACCAAAGCCACCCAGACCTAGCTGGGATCTTCTGCTTGATGCCATCACTGTTTATCTTTAGTCCTCTAGGGAACTGATCTGGTCATCTTTTAGGGCACTAACTGTCATCAAAGCTGAACGCGACCCCACTCTGGTGGGGCAGGAATTTTCATGCTGGATCAGCCAAAGAGTCCAGCTGACTCAGTATCCTGATTCCTACAATGATTCATCAGATGCCCTGGGAAGCTTACTAAAAGGCCTGAAAGGTGGCAAAGCTAGTTAGGCCAAACAGCATCCTCCATAGAATGGGAGTGGGTAAGTAAGTGAAAGAACCACTTGAGATACTAACATAGATCTAAAAGAAACTTCATTCCTGAGTCAGCTGCCTTTTCAGATCTTCCCTTACCTGGAAGATTTCAAACCCTGCTATGTCCAGAATGCCAATGAAGGATGCCCCCTGGCGCTTGGTTCGGTCCAGCGCCCGGTTGATCCGATGCACCAACCAGCGGAAGAGCCGTTCGTAAGTGGCTTTGGCCAATGCTTCAACAGCAAAGTCAGCCTAGGAAGGGAAGATGAGGCAAGACTTGAACCAGGCTCTGCTCGGCCTCTACACCTTCAACGCCATCCTCAATGCCCTGGCAAACCCTCCTTCCTACATCAAGAATGCTTGTGTCCACCCGGCCACTCACCCAAATCCCAGCCATCGTCATTGCTACCAACCTGTTCCTTCGTCTGTGCCTTCTGCACATAGTCTCGGCCAACCTTGATGCGGGGGGTGAGGATGGCACGTGTGAACTCAGTGACATTCATGCCCAAAAGGTGGCAGAGTTTCTGAGCAGCTGCAAAGGACACGAAACAAGATGAAGAACTTCAAGATTATCATGTGTGCAGATTCCAGATTCACACGCTGTTGCTAATCCAAACAGCAGACTGCAGTCACTGTGTGTTGCTTAGTCCAAGAAGTGATTACAAGTATTTCTACCTTTTCTGTAGTACTTTCTCCCTGACACTACACCATATCTGCCTCAGGAAAGCAGTGCCTTTGCTAGAACCCTTAAGGACTTCAAAACCTCCCTCTATTGATTAGACACTCCTTACAGTTCAGACTGCTTACAATAGCTGATAGAGAACTTTAATTTCAATTCTGCATTATCTCAGCTCATTGACTCCTTCTTGGTCACTGCGGCTAATTCTTAACCAACATGACTTCATCTATCTGACCTGATCTATCCGTCTATCTGCTGGATCATCATTTGTAATTCCCTTATCCACTACCTGAAAATATTAAATTAAAAAACCCAGAAATACACATTTATATGGATTTCCAGGATATATTTACTAGAACTGGCCACTACAGAAGGCAAGAGATACATACTGTTCACTATGTTTTTCTATGCATTTTTTTTCTGATTCAAGGTCACCTGTGCATATTTTATTAAAGTTTATGTTTTAAATATACTCCCTACAATCTTGGGGTCAATATTAGACAATTATTCATTCAATTACTATGGAAACTTATTTTGAAGATGTATGGTAGGTATTCAGGAAATTGCATTAAAAAGATAACTTTATATCTGCTGCAAGTGAGTCCTAACTGAGAAGGTGATGCAAACCTTGCCTGTAATTCAAGTCTTGAGCAGGTGTCCTTCCCCACAGGCCAGCTGTTCCCCATCAAACTCAGCAACCCCCCTAATTACCTGTATTATCGGGCATGGAGGCCTGATCCGTATTCCGCTCTTTACGGAAGACAATGTTTCCAAACTGCAGCACAGCAGAGACCATCCGTAGCATACCTGGGTGAGGAAGAAGACATAGACTAATCTATGCTGTTCCCTCCTTCTCCAGTCCTCAGAGCAAACAGACTTTGAAGATTTTTTTTACTTTCCTTGGATGACATCTCCTGGCATCTCAGACACACACACTATGGAATATGGCCAGCAGCCTTGCTAGCTCTGGAATTCTAGCTGTTCTCCCCTCCGTATTCCGCTCTTTACGGAAGACAATGTTTCCAAACTGCAGCACAGCAGAGACCATGCGTAGCATACCTGGGTGAGGAAGAAGACATAGACTAATCTATGCTGTTCCTTCCTTCTCCAGTCTTCAGAGCAAACAGACTTTGGAAAAAAAATTCTTTCCTTGGATGACATCTCATACACACAAACTATACAAGATAGCCAGCACCCTTGCTGACTGTGGAACTCTATGAGCTGTTCTCCTCAAAAAAGGAACTTTTCCAAGGCTCCCACTCACATTTGTTGCACAAACACAAACCTTCATGGTTAGTCACTGAGAGGTTGTAAATAGCAGGCTCAAGTCACGGGGCTTACTCAGACAACAGACTCACTTATGAAACTCACTGGAGGTGATGTTACAACTGACACTAGCACACAAGACATGCCAGTTTTGGGTTATCCAAATCACAGTAACCAAATTATCCTTATTTTGGTTTTCTACCTCCCTTGTGGAGCTCATTTTATGCCATCTTAAAAACATCAACAAAAGAGCAGTGGTTATTGTGGGTTGTTTGAGTTCTTTGGCCATGTTCTGAAGGTTGTTCTTCCTAACGTTTCGCCAGTCTCTGTGGCCGGCATCTTCAGAGGACAGGAGTCAGAACTCTGTGCTCTGGTGCAGTTTGTTTGGATAGTTGAGTATTTATAGCTGTGGGATCAGCTTTTGTCCTTTTCAGGAAATTGGGTGATTATGGTGATCAGCATGTTTTTTGTTTTGGGTGTATTGTTGTGATAAGAGGGATGGCAGCATCGGAAGAGGGGGCATAGAAAGAGGGGGAAAGCCCGACCAAAGCCATTCCCCACCCATACTGCCTTTGCAAAGGCAGCAGAGCCGAGGGAATACTTTGATCCCTTTTCCCCTCTTCCTACACCTCTGCGGGGCATAGAAAGAGGGCGAAAGCCTAATCCAAGCCATCCCCCAGCCCCGGTATGGGTTTCCCTTCTTGTAGTCTTTAGCAAGCTGCCAGAAGGGAAAATCCCTCTGTTTGTACCCCTGAGGAACAGCTGATCCGCGGCAGCATAAGCACATAGGGATAGATAGACGAAGGGACAAATAGAAAAGGGTTATATTAATTGCTTCATATTCGTCAGATTCTCTGGCCTCCAAGAATACGAAGCAGCGAATATCTGATGAATCAGGGATATTGGTTGAATATCCTGATTCGTTTTTATATTCGTCCCCATGTCTAATGCACGGGTTTTAGGCATCCATGGAGGGGAGCTTAGAACTGACCTCTCATGGATACTGTGGTCCTACTGTACAGAGGTATCTAAAAACTGCACTCAGGTGAATAAATGAGAAGACACGACTGGCGGCAATTAGCCATGTTGGCCACAGATGCACACGTTTTGCTGAAAGACAGCACAGTTCTACCTACCAAGCAATGAAGAACCAGCAGTGCCTGTATGTCACTATCAGACTCCTTGCTTGTGAACACCCCAGAAATTTCAGTACTGAGCAAAACAGATGGTGGCTGTTTTTTCCCTGCCCCTCCACCCAAGTGGAAACAGAACTCACAGTGTATCTCCTCGTGGGAAAAGCCCATGATGCGCATCGACTCCATGGTCTCGTGGAAGATCTCCTTGTCTTGCTGCCCTGGGATGGGCAGGTATCCATTGGAAAGGAAGCGATACTGATTGAACGGCTCCAGCAGCAGTTCCCCTGCAAGGTTCCAAAAGAAAGCACCTCTAAAGCAAAAACTGTACTTCTGAAGGCAATCTCAAAGCTCCGAGGGTTCCTCTGGTACAGGGGACTCCATCCCATAATCAATTAACACCGCTGCTCCATGACTTTCGCTTCATCACAGCCTCCCCCTAAGTTTACTTTCAGTCACATTTAAAGGGTGAAGCCAAAAGGCTCCATCACCCTCAATTAATACCCCTGACTTCTAGGTTTATTGTTGCTCTCCATAACCTGTGCTAGGAGACAGCAGTTTCACAGAAAACTATAGCCTAATACCATTAGGGAAGGAGTGTCTCCCTATACAGTGGTGCCCCGCATAGCGACGATAAACCATTCCGGAAAAATCATCGCTATCCGGAATCGTCGCTATGCGAAATAAAAAAGCCCATAGGAATGCATTCAAACCTATTTAATGCATTCCTATGGGCAAAAACTCACCGTTATGCAAAAATCCTCCATACGGCCGCCATTTTCGCTGCCCGGTAAGCGAGGAATGGGCGCGAAAACACAGAAGGTGGCCATTTTTTCCCGGTGGCCATTTTGGAACCGCCGATCAGCTGTCTTTAAACATCGCTATGCAAAAATCGGTAAGCGAAACAGCTTACCAGTCATTGAAAAGCGATTTTTTGCCATTAGAAACATTGCAATGTGATCGCTTTTGCGATCGCAAAAAACAAATCGCTATGCGGATTCGTCGTTAAACGGGGCGCTTGTTAAACGAGGCACCACTGTATATACAACTTAAAAAAAGGCAAGGGAATCATTTACCTTTCATGTGCTCGCCAGCGCCCACTAAGAGCTGGTAGAAGATGTGGAAGGTTCGCTCATCCTTAGCCTGGCGAATAGCTCGTGATTTTTCCAGGAGGTCTGGGACATTTGGAGTTAAGGATAGGGGAGCAAAAGAAAAATGCACCCAGACAAAAACCTTTCTCATCATAAAACTGGTGTCATTCTCCTTTCTGGGGCTGGTGTAGGCTGGGGAGTCCTAAGTTCCTAAAATCCCCGCTCTCTCCAATCTTCACAACCTGAGTTCCCTATTTGATCTAGCCTATCAGGAAACCTGCACCCAGCATTCCCTGATTTTCATCCTCTTAGAACTGCAGAGATGGAAGGGACCCTATGGACTATCAAGCTCAGCTCTTGTCAAGGGGGCACAGCAGGGAATCAAACATCCAACTCTTGGCTCTGCAGCCAGAGACCTAACCCACTGAGCCATGTTTTGACTTCTTCCAAACCATCAGGAATCTCCACACTGAGAAACCCTTGCTTCCTACAACCCATTAGGAATCTGAGCGCCCAGAACCCTGCACGTCTTCTTACTCAGACTCTACCTTCCACCCACAGAACCCATGAATCCTCCTTCTAATCCCTCAAGCTCAACTCAATGAAATTTGCCCTCTCACAAACGGGATACATGTCTCTATATTGGCTCCAACAATGTAGCCGGCTACATCAAAATTGATCCGAATAAATTTTCCCTAGAAGATACAAACAGAAGAGAGGGGAGGGAAGAATGAGATCAGAGATCAGAACTGCTGTGCTGCATGTACGGGACATCAAGGCAGCTTGTTTCCTTCATATATGTACATTTCTGGTGAACCTACACATCAGAGAGTTTTTTTAACAGCCTTATGAAACGAGGAACACAGTCACTCTGAATACTGCTTGTTGGTCTGACATCCTGCCAAGCTACAGAAGCTCAAAGGAGCCTTTCCTTACTGGGCCCAACTAGGGGTGGGATGGAGTTGATCAATATTTCTTAGTCTATCTTGACAGGCCTGAAATCAGCCCAACAGGCAGGCGTATCTGCTGGAGCAAAGGAAAAGGAAAGGCAGAATCTAAATAAAAATTGAATTCTGCTCACTACAAGCTAGAACGAAAAGCTTAAGGCTGGTCAGCTTGTTTCTTGCTCTGATGTTCTACATACAAGCTAGCTGGCCTTCTGGTTACACCTGCAGCCCACAGCTCAGGAGGAGCTATAACAAGCTACTTTCAATCAATTCCTTTTTTTCAACAGCGAAAGGCGTAACTCAGGTGAAATTATAATTTCAAGCTTGAGGAGGCCTAACACTGCTCTCTTTGCTGGGCCACTGTAACATGAAATGTCACATTCAGGATGGAGCCTCGCTCAGTGGTGGGAAATTATCAGATACACCAAGTGCTGATTGGTGCTGTGCCATGCTGTTCAGGCAGAGTCATATTGTTTTTTTCCCCCTAAAAGCTAACTAAGGTAACAGCTTTAGTTATTTCGGAGAAATAGGAAAGTGGCATTACTTTCAAATGATCACATTAATTAACTGCTTGTTGGCCCTTGAAACGACAACAGTGACTAAAACACCATGGCCCCTTAAAAACAGACAGATTTATTTCACTGTGAGTCTTTGCGTATTACAGTTGAACTTCCTCAGATGTGCCTAGGCCAGCCATTTGGTTTGGCCACAGGTACAAACATAATGTGAAAGAAATATAAGCTGAATCAGGATTGTATAAATCACATCACAAACCTTATAAGGCAGTATGTGAAGAATTGTTTGCAGTCTGTGGCCCCTTTCAAATGTCCCAGCAGTGCCCTCCAGGGGACAAATGCCTCCCCCCCCCACTGAAAATGGCTGATCATTCAGTCTGTGCTTTAAATCTGTGCTATCTCCTGGGTTTGATTTCTTTAAAAGGATTGCCGTTCACATGCCTTGAAAAGGCATTCAACCCAAGACAGAGGATTTCCCCACCGCCGCCAACTTACAAATCGTGAAGAGTTGTCATTCTTTACTGTCTTTGCATTGCCGAAAGCCTCCAAGATGGGGTTGGCTTGCAGCAGCTGGCGCTCCAGTTCACCCTAGAGTGAAAAAAAGGGCAAGAGGGTGGCGGGTAAAAAGGGTTACACAAACCCAGAAGTATCGAGATAGCTTTGTGGAAATGGCAATTATAAGCCAGCCTCCAACCCTAACCAAAGCAGAGGAAATGCTTGGAGACGTTCAAGCTGCAGTTGGGAGGTGGGACACGGCTACCTTAGGAAAGGGAAGGTTCCAAGGTACTGTAAGGTCCCAGAAGGGGGCGCTGTTTGGATATGGGGGGGAAACAACAACCCTTCAAGCCGGTACATAAACCCCACCCAAAAATCCCACCCCCACCCCTTCGAAAAGCACAACAGAAAATTACTCACGTAGGAAGCAGGGTTGGAGATCTATGGAGGGCAAGGTGGGGGTGACGTCACAAAATGTAAAATGGGGATGGGGAAGCAGGGAGCCAGACAAACGAACAACAAACAAACAAACAAAAAAACCAAAGGATTAAAATTAGACCACAAACGGACACCAAGAACCCAACAAGAAGACCAAAGTAGTAACACGGATGAGGAACCGAGAGAGAGAGAGGAGGGGGAGAAGAGGCTTCCATAGTCCCGGCTCTCTTTCTCAGCTCCCACCTGCTTGAATCTTGTTCCTTTCTCAGAGAATCCATCCTCTGGGCTCTGATCAGGAAAGAGAGTCAAGGCAATGAACACTGAACATTAAAAAAAAACAAAAAACACCAAGTTTAAAACCAACAAGAACAACAACAAAGCGATTAAGCCAGAATTACAGCCCAAATAAGGGCCAAGAGCAGCAGCCAATGGAAGTGACCAGCAGTCAGCACCAGAGGGTGAGCAAAGGAAGCAGGGAAAGGGCGGCCAGGGGGGGGATTGGCATTTCAGCAGCATGCATGGTGCTTTCCTTGCCTGTTTGCCTTCGTTCGGGTACTCCGGCTGGGGCAGCAAGACAACAGAGGGGAGATTAAGTCCAGCTCCCCTTAAAGGTCCATAAAAATAACTCCTACCCTCCCAAATACAAACAAAACAAACAAACACACGCCATCCCTAGAACTTGGGCAAGTGACCTTTCGGACTACAACTCCCAGAATCCCCAGCCAGCAAAACCACCGGTCCTGCGGGCCAGGGGACTCCTGGAGCCATAGGCCAATGACACTGAAGGAGAGTCTGAGAGCGGCAGTCCAAAAAGTTAACTTTTCTAACCTCTTGACTGTCCCCATCAGAGATGAGGTCAAGACACCGCGGAGGCTCAATCCCAAACGGTAAGAAGGACAAGTCTCCAAATTCATGCAGAAGGCTGGGAACGGCAGTTCCAAAACCCTCCAGCAAGTTTTCCATCTGCTCCCAGTATGATCCAGTTTGCATGTACCCCACAAGTGGAGAACTGAAATGTGGGAGCACAGGGGTGCTCCCAGCGGGGAGGAACAGGGCCCAAGGGTAAAGCACACACCCTGTGCGCAGGAGCCACGGATGCAGCTCTGATGGAGGTGGAGGTTGGAGTTTCATCACAGAGGGCCCTCACTGCTGGACAGTATCCCTGTTCTCTTGATTATCACGTGCACCCCAGAAGTAGCATGAGATTGCCAGTGCGGGATTGTGATTAGAATGTGGGTCAGCCACATGGAAGGTCAAGGTTCTAGTTCCTGCTGAGGCATTAAACCCATTGAACTCCCTCACGGGGCTGTTGTGAGGCTAGAGAAAAGAGACCGTCACGTACTTCATCATGGGTTTGGTGGAGAAAAGGCAGAATATAATTAAACTCATCACTAATGACTAACTAATTTGTTCCAGAGAGGAGCCAGGGACCGCTCGGCTTTTTCTACTAGAATAACAATCATAGATAACAATAATTATTGCAATTAACAACAGCCCTGTGAGGGAGTTCAATTGGCTTAATGCTTCAGTAGGAACTAGAACCTTGACCTTCCATGTGGCTGACCCACATTCTATTCGTATTTCCTCCAGCACAACCAGTGAATCATGAAAAGTGGATCAAACTTAGAATGGAAAGAAGATCCATTCATTTCCCCAGGTGCCTTTCTTTGCTGATGGCTTCCTGTATCAACGGGACATCATGCTGGAAGTCACAGTATGTCTGTTGGACACTCAGTTAGGGAAAGCTGCACTTGAGTATTGCAATTCATTTTAAATCAAATGAGGTGTCATTATTTTTCGGGCTGTCCTATAACATTCTCCTGCTCTGCAAAAGAAAAATATGAGCTGCTAGTTTGAATTGGTTTGCAGCTGAGAAATTGTCCAGTAGCACAAACATCGTGAGGAAGATAGGGAACTGGGTCTCACATCGGGGGACAGAAGAGACAAGAATCCCTCACTCAAGATGGATGTAGCTTTCCCCCCCTCTAGGACAAGGGGTCATTTCTACAATGAGATGGACACTGAATTTCTTTCTGCTTTACTTTCATAGGAGGAAAGCATGCCCAGGAAGGACCCTCTGTGTGCCTAGAGGTCTGCAAGGGCCTCGTGATAGAACCAGCATAACTGGGTGGGAGGGTAAATTGTCCAGTCGTGTTCGACTCTAGGGGGCGGTGCTCATCCCCGTTTCCAAGCCACAGAGCCAGCGTTTTATCCGAAGACAATCTTCCGTGGTCACATGGCCAGTGCGACTTAGACACGGAACGCTGTTACCTTCCCACCGAGGTGGTACCTATTTATCTACTTGCATTTGCATGCTTTCGAACCGCTAGGTTGGCAGGAGCTGGGACAAGTGACGGGCGCTCACTCCGTCGCGTGGATTCGATCTTATGACTGCTTGGTCTTCTGACCCTGCAGCACAGGCTTCTGCGGTTTAGCCCACAGCGCCACCACTGACAGAAGAGACAAGAAATTCTCCCTCACTCAAGATGGATGTAGCTTTCCCCCCCTCTAGGACAAGGGGTCATTTCTACAATGAGATGGACACTGAATTTCTTTCTGCTTTACTTTCATAGGAGGAAAGCATGCCCAGGAAGGACCCTCTGTGTGCCTAGAGGTCTGCAAGGGCCTCGTGATAGAACCAGCATAACTGGGTGGGAGGGTAAACAAAACGGACACAGACACTGACAGTCACAAAGGGAAGGTGAGAAGAACAGAGTGAGGTGTGTCATCGAGGTTGGGAGGAATGACTGGAAAGATACGAGAATGTACCAGTTTCCTTTAACGAAAATAAAAAGAAAAGAAAGGAAAAAAACTCTGGCACTCATTGCCGCCTGGATATCACAACCTCTCATGTGGTATCCGCATTCCACACGGGTACAGACTGGGCAGGGCAAGTGAGTGAGAAGGGGAAAGTACTTTAACACTTGATTAAAAGACACTTCACTTTATCACTAATTGCCACAGTCAGGGCATTTGAGGATGCCGACTTGGAACAACATCCAAGCAGGCCCTGGCAAGGGAAAGGAGTGGAGGGACTGGTCAGGGAGACCCCAGAACTGGCCAAGTCAGTTCCTGTACAGGAGGTTCTGTCAGAAGGCCTAAAAAAAGGCTCCCCTCCGATTCAGGCACGGTGGTCAGGGCAACAAAAGAGAAAAGTTATACACCTGCCATGAGTGGCATGGAAGTAGCTGAGACATCGGAGGCCATGTGTCAGAGGTCACTCACCGGAACACTGTGGTCCTTCCGGGCTTTGTGCGATGAAGCCACATGTGCTAAATACTGGATCACTTTCTTTGTGTTCTCAGTCTTGCCAGCACCCGACTCACCCCTGCCAAGAAGACCACACACTACAAGTGAGAAAAAGAGAAGACTGGATCCTGGACGGCCCCCAAATATCCTCTTTGAGGGTCAATCCTTTCTATGCAGTGCAGCCAAAGTAATCAAATGCCATTCTCCCTCTTTCTGGATCCCCATATCATGTTACTTGAACTGGTGTCACGCAGTAGGAAGGATTGTGGAATGATTTTGATTCAAATCCTGCCACAGGCATGAACTAATGGACAATTATAATAATGTCATGATTATAATACTAAAAATACTCGGGTGAGAGAGATAGTGAAGTGGCTGGACTTTGGAGACTATATCAAAAGCTTGAGGCAGTTGTCATTACCTGCAGCCCATTCCATCTGGCTGCAGATCAGAGAGATGAGATAAGAAGCTGAGTTGTTTCAGCAGTGTGGCTAAATGATCTGGGTTTTTCCTCATTGGTTTTGGGATGAAAAGTGGGATAAAATGCTTAAAAAACAAGGAAACAAATCCTGCTCAACTACAAGTTTGAGGGGGATGACCTTTGCTCAGTCCTATTTATTTATTCTATGTATACCCCGCATATCTGGTCATTTCAACCACTCTAATCACTCAGCTCATGCCTACCTTATAGGTTCTGTAGACAGAGGTTGGAAGGTATTGTATATACAGTGGTGCCTCGCTTTACGATTGCCCCGCATTACGACGAAACCGCATTACGACGATCTTTTTGCGATCACAATTGCGATCGCAAAATGATAGTCTGAAGTGGATTTTTTCACTTTGCGATGATCGGTTCCCTGCTTTGGGAACCGATTCTTCACAAAACGACGATTTTCCTCCAGCTGATCGGCGGTAAATAAAATGGCCGCCAGGTAAATAAAATGGTTCCCCACTGTTTTCTGGGACGGATTCCTCGCTGCACAGACACCAAAAATGGCCGCCCTATGAAGGATCTTCACTGGACGGTGAGTTTCCAGCCCACTGGAATGCATTAAACGAGTTTTGATGTGTTTCAATGGGCTTTTGATTTTCGCATTACGACATTTTCGTTCTACAGCGATTTCGCTGGAACGAATTAACGTCGCAATGCGAGGCACCACTGTATTGAGGTTTTGGGGTGTTTTTTTTTAAAATTTTGCAAACCTATTTCCAAGAACTGATGAAACAGTGGCGAAAAGATTTTAAAAACCGTACAGCAGCCTTCCCCAACCAGGTGCCCTCCAGATGTGCTGGATTGCAACTACCATCACGCCAGTTCAGCCGAACCCTGGTGACTGGAGGATGATGGGAATTGCAGTCTCTCATCTCTGGATGGTGCCAAGTTGGAGGAGGCTGCTCTAAAGTGGTATATAAATGCAAAATACCATTTATTTGTTTCTCTCTAACTTAGAAAGAAAAGCCTGACAGCTTCATCTCAGACTAGACCATTTTGTCAGAAAGGATGGGGAAGAAGGAAACTCTCTGTTCGGACTTAACAACAATCATATCATTGTCAGAACTGGAGACAGTATTTAGTGGTTGATGTTCACCTGAGCCTCTCTTAACTTGGCAATTAAACTTGTAATTTAATGTTATCATATTCTGAGCTGACCACCCACAGGATGACAAAGGTCTCTAAAGCCAATGGCAACAAGCAAAACGAAAGAACAAACTTTGGTCCAGCTATAAAGCTGCTGGCTAGATCCGTCCATAAGTTAGGCTGCAGAGCCAGAGGCTGCGAGTTCAAATCCCCACTGTGCATTCCAGAAGAGCCAGCCTGTGTGGCCTTGGGCAAGCTGCACAGTCCCAGGACGCGCCTCAAAAGAAGGGAAAGGTAAACCACTTCTGAGTATTCTCGCCCTGGAAATTGTCATCATACCTTAGAATTTATTTCATGGCACACAATAATTATAGAGCTGCTACATCCCCACCCAAACAAGCAAACCAGTTTGGTCCCAGCTAACACTTACGTGCACAAGATAGACTGATCTTCTCGATCTGCAGGGGAAGCAAAGATGACATGGTTCAGATGCAAGCTGCTTCTCATATGCAGGAGCCTGAATAACCTCCCTCCACCAGAGGGCACCTGAGATGCACATTCAATTGCTCACCCACCCAAGACTTCACCAACCACAGGATTTCAGGACCTCTGTGAGACATACCACAGTGAGCACACACCCCAAAACCACACATTCTCTCTTCCATCCAGTTCTGCTTGGAATGGGGAACTGCCTGAATTTTCCCACCCTGCCTCCCCATCTTCCGCAGAGCACAGCAGCCTCCTCCAATCTTGTCTCACTGCAGCCGAAATGTTGGTGGAAGAGATGTGGAAGCTGAAGCCCAATGGTCCCAAAGGGGGACGCGGGGACTGGCCGACAGCAAGCCAGCCGGAGATCTCTCCCTGCCCTGGTCTTAAGCGTAGCTTTCTCCATGTTTCCAATTCATACCCTGTAACATGCTTCGGTAGGCAGCTTCAGAGATGGCATAGATGTGGGGTGGCATCTCATGTCGTTTCTTCCCCCGGTACATTTCCACTATCTGCTCTGTGTAGATGGGCAAATTTTTATAAGGATTGATGACCACGCAGAAAAGCCCTGAATAAGTCTGTGGTTGGAAAAAGGAAAAACAAACAAAGATAGGGCATCTGAGAACAGCTCCTCACCCCTTCTCCAAACCGATAATCTGCCCCCCACACACACCTAGGTTAATGATGCTTCCAGCAGAAGAACAATCAATTGACATGCTTTAATCCAGAACCAACATTTGCAAATGTATAAACAACTTTTCACTTCAGGACAAAGTTAAAGCATGGAATGAAACACAGTGGGAGCAAAGCAGTTAGACTTCAGAAGTCTGGGTTTTAGTCAAGCCATAAAACTCACTGGGAGACCTTGGACACTGCTGACTGCTACACAGGATTTATTTATGAGGGTCAAATAGGAAAGAAGAGAACCATACATACAATCTTGAGCTCAGTGGAGAAAAGGCAAGACAAACAACTAATAAAAACATAAATAAAAGGAAAACAAGATTTAGACCATATTCATTGACCCCAACAATTTAGTACAGTAAAGGGTTAGGAGTAAATAGTGACCTTCCAGAGCTCATAGGACTACAGCTCCCATGAACCTGATCCAAAATAAACAGAAGGGATGATGGTAACTGCAGTCCACCAGCATGTCCTCCGACCCAAGTACTAATTAAGCCCAACCCTGCTTAGCCTCCATAAGCAGATGAGACTGAGTATGTTCAGGGTGGTATAGTGGTCGTTAAGCTGATACAAGATGGTAAACAACTTGTTTAGAGAGCAACTTGTTCCCCACCAACTTTAGAGGGTTTTTGGATGGGAAGGTAAGAGAGGGCCTTCCTGGTGGTGCTCATGTGGCACTCATTCTCAAGGAAGGCAGGTTAGCTCCTGCCCTGGTGTCCTTCTGCCCAAAGATGAAATTATTTAGTTGGGCTTCAGGCAACAACCTGTTTGCTGAAGAAAGCTGTTAATGCAGCGGAATGGATTCTGTGCTTCTATAATAATGTGCTTCTAATTAGTTTTATTTCAATTATGCTTAAACACAGGATGAATAAAAATCAATGTTTTTTTAAAAAAATAAAATCGATTTAAATCATGATTTAAAAATATTTTTTTACATTTACATTGTTTAAAAAAATCCAAGTTTTAAAATTAAAATTGTCATTTAAATCAACCTGATGCAAATCAAGTCCGCCCTGCTTAAATATCACAGTAGAGTCAAAATTACACTTCTGTGTTTTTCATTTACAGCATTTTCAACCACACCTGTTTTTTTTAAACTTGTCAGTTCCATTGTTAGGGAAAAGACAGATTAAAAAGCAAATGAATAACTACAATATGGCTCCAATGAGGGCTGATTCCAGCAAACTTTTCGTGCTTAAGCAGTTGTGGTTTTTAGCTACGTGCCTTTTGAAACTAGTTGCCCAAGCCTGCCTTGGCACACATCTTTTGCCACACCGCGGCCAGCCTGTTTTTAGACCGGTTTTAGATGGCATATCCCAGCAGTGGCAATCACGTGGCCTCTTTACTGTACATAGATGAGGCCGGATGCCTGTACAGATGGACTGAAAACACCAGCTGCTAGATAGCCTGGAACACTGGAAGGAATCGGCCCTGAGATCACCACGTGAAGCAATACATTGGAATTAGCAGAGAGGCAGAATGAGGGTTAAACAACTGGAAAAACCAGACCATGGAAATCTTATGATTCTCGCATTACAACTCTCAGAATCCCCAGCCAGTATGGAGACCAGTCATGCTGGACGAGAGATTCCAGGAGTTGTAGCGCAAACCCACACGAAACAGAACATCCTCAAGGTCTGAGAAAAACATGGAAAGAGGTTCCTCAATGGGAGATCTCACTAACAAGGAAGGTGGTAGAAGCCCTCTTCTGGGGAGCATGTTATTTTTTTTTAGAAGATGTTCCTTGTTTGGACATTCTACACAAAAAGTGGGAAGACAGGAGACAGGGCAAAAAGATGATCCGCTCCTGAGTCCTCCCCTTCTATGATTCAGCGTGTGTTCCTACGATTGCGCTATGCCCTTGGGAGAATTTGTTTCAACCCTATCCGTCATCATTCGCTCCTGTTCTCACTAAACAGGTCTAGTCCGTTCTCCACCCCGATACCCAGCTGCAGGGGTGGGGATTAGGGGAGGGAGCTGGGCTGTCCTCAAGTCAAGAGATGATGCGTGCCTGAGAGAATGCCCTGGCACCCTGCCTCTCAGGGCAGCCTTTTGTGCCTGCTTTGGTGCCACGGAAACCAACGCTGACCCTGCCAGCAGGACAGACGGGAAAGGATGCGTCTCTCCCTTTGAGCGGCATTATCCCAGGCATGGAGGAAGATTCTGCTCCCCCGGCTCTGGCGTCATCAAACGCGCACTCCACAGGCTCAGAACAAAAGGGCCACTTTTGCACACCCCCTCCAAGCAGCTCTGCACCCTCCCCTGGTCCTGATGCCTGCTACGACTGAAAAGCTTGGCCTCTAAATGAAAACACACCCCGGTGCTCAGAGGGGAGAAGCAGCCTCGCCGGACGAGCTCGCTAACTCCTGGAGCCATGGCCCAGCAGGAAACAATACGGCGCTAGGTTTTTCTACGTCAGCAAGTTGTCTGTGGTGTGTGTGTGGTTCAGCGACCACCCCAGGGAAGGAAAGAAAACTCCGCACCACATACACATCCTATCAACATGCCTTTAGCCCATCACAGTCTAAAATCTGGGTATTATCAGTAAAAACAACAACAAGGAGCCCTTGCAGCAGCTGAAAAGAGTGACTAACTATTTAACAAAACATCTTGTAGATGGCTTTCCAGATGATTCCACGGGACAGGAATAGGTAAAAGCTTGCGTGGAGCAGATCTGATTAGTCTCTACTGTGTTCCGAGACTGTTGTTTCTTTTGCAACAGACCACAGGCTAACAGGGCTACCCCTCTGGAAGTTACCCGCTTCCCACTCTGACTTCCAAGGGAAAGTTCACTGAGCTTTCCTCAAAACTAGGTAGCAACTTCTCTGCATCGCTAGAAAATCATGAGTAGTGGTGGTGAAAATACAGATTTAAGCTAAGATGTTTGGTTGCCGTAAGCATAAGCATTTTTAACAGAGAAACAGGTTCTGAAAGGCAGAACTCAAGGCTCTTGTTGGAAAGAATGTGAATTTACAGGTAGTGTGGTTAACCTCTGTCCCTCTCCAGATGTCTCAAGCCTACTATTTCTTATTCAGGTATAGGCCAGGAAGCAGACTACCAAAGCATGGAGAAGTTACTTTGGCAGACTACAATTCCCATAGTTCCCTAAACCACAGGATTCAGGGAACTGTAGTCCTCAGAAGTAACTTTTCCAAATTCTGATAATTTTCCATTTTCACCTCTCCAGATGTTTCAAGCAGGCCCATCCTGCATGGCATGTAGTACAAGAATGTGGAAATTGTAGTCTAGAATACAGTGGTGCCTCGCTTAGCTATCACTCCATTTAGCGAAGAAAACGCTTAGCACTTAGCGATCACTCCGTTTAGCGAAGAAATCACTTTGCGACGCATTCTGCCTCTCTCATTCTGCGATGGTCCCTATGGGGTATTTTCGCTTTGCGAAGATCGCAGAGAAGCAATCATCGCGAAGCAACCCTTTTTGCACAGCTGATCGGTGGTTTCAAAATGGCCGCCGGGGAAAAAACATGGCTGCCTGCTGGTTTTTTTTTGGGACGGATTCCTCGCTTTAGAGGCACCAGAAATGGCAGTGCTATGGAGGATCTTCGTTCAACGGTGAGTTTTAAGCCCATAGGAACGCATTAATAGCGTTTAAATGTGTTTCTGTGGGCTTTTTTATTTCGCTTAGCGATGTTTTCGTTTAGCAGCGATTTTTTCGGAACAAATTAACATCGCTAAGCGAGGCACCACTGTAGTAGGAGAACCCCGCTCTGCTGGGAACGTAAGAGAAAAGGCGCTCCAAGAGCCAAATGCTCCTTTGTGAGTTCTTAGGGAGGGGTCAGGGAGTGACTGAAAAGGAGACACAATGAACAATGAGGATTATTACAAAAGTAAGTGGGATAGGAGGGTGGCAGTGAAAAAAGGAGGCAGGTCAAGCATGGATGAGGGCGGCCATCCAGACGTTGAATGACTTCAATGCCCAGCAGCCCTGGGAACTGCAGTCCAAGAACATCTGAAAGGCCACCACTGTCCACCTACGAGGTAGGTGGTGAGAGAAGGGACAGCAAAGAGCCAGGACTCTCTCAAGTTCCCCAGCCAAGTTAACTCACGTAGATGAGGCCTGAGTAGTAGCGGTCTTTGAGGTTATGCAACACCGAGGCTTCGTTAAGGCAGGTGAGCTCCGCCATATCCTCCACTTTGGTGAACTTTGGAGGGTTCATCTTCTGGATATCGTCCTTGGCGACCAGCACCTGACGGCCGTTCTCGGCCAGTTCCACCAGCACTTCCTCTCCCCGCTCTTCCCGCAGCCCGGCTGCCTCGAAGCCATGGCGCTCCGACGGGACCCACACGAGCCGCTTGGCTGTCCAGTCAGCCTGTGAGGCTGGGTTGCCCACCTGGTTTCGGTCTACAAATAGGTATCTTTCGGCACTGACGTCGCCCCGCTGCACAGGGGCCCGGACAGCCATGGCTGGGAAAGAGGAACAAATCAAAGAGAAATTAGAAGGGTACATTAATTCACAGTCAAGTCTTGAACCTTAGCCCCCACCTTCCCAGCCACCACTACTTCCACACTAATAAGACCTCTACAACTTGTAGTTCCCAGATCCCCCTTCTTTTTAGGGGTGCCTTTTGAGAATTGGTATCATACAACCGGAAGATCTCCAAGGGACAAGAGTACGGACTATAAAAACGGTACAGTGGCCAAAAACTCTGTCTGCATAGAGTTATATGGCTGGTAGCATTTAACTCAAACTAATTAAAACTTCCTGTCCCCCTATCATCCCCCCCACCCCGAGGCTCCCTAGGACTCCTTTTTGACCTGGAGAAGCTGTGGGGAACCCCGGGATGGGGAGGGAACCTTTAAAAGTTAAAAATCACCACTAGATTGCTGCCACAAGGATTGAGACTGGTGGCCACAATCCAGAAGTGATTTTTTTTTTTAACTTTTAAAGGCTTTTCTCATCCCAAGGCTCTCAAAGGCTTCCCGAGGGCAAAAGGGTGCCCTAAGGAGTGCCCCAGAATGAAAACCAGGGGGCACACAAAGTTTTTAATTAGTTTGAGTTAAATGTTAATGGCACCAGCTGATGACATCATCAGATTCAGCTACATAACTATATGCAAACAGGATTTTGGCCTATGTCGTACGTTTTCTGTCTCCCTGTGTTGAAATGTAAATATGGTGTGGCTGGAAATTCTGGGGACACAGTAGAAAAGAAGTATGGCATACCCTCCCCCCACCCCCTTCTCTAATGAGAAATGCTCATTTTGAGGAGTGGGTGGGGTGGGGAACGGAAATTTTTGTAGCATTTAGTTGACTATCCAAATACAAAACTTCACCAAATCCTTTTGGACTCTTTAAGTCTCTTAAACAAACATTTCCATTCCAGCAGAAAGAGAAAGTCGTGTTTACAGAACAATCATGAGGAAATAAAACCTAGCAAAGGCAGCCTAGTGTGGGAGCAAAGGTTGTCTGGAGCCAAGATTCTGCTGTTCTTAGACAGAAGATGATTCTGATGAGTTGAAAAGAAAAAAAAGGTACCTGGAGGACGTCAAGATTAGAGAAAGACAGAAAGTAGATTTGAGCCTCCAGATTTTCCATACTTTAATAATAGCGGGAACACAAAGTCACTCCCTCCCACGACAAATTATACTGGTGAAATGAATAGGACTGTAAAATCTGTTCAAATCGAGTCATCAGAACAAGTACCCAGACTTAAGATCTTTTAATTCAAAGTAGAGATCTTTTGTATCAAGTTTTGGTTGTTGGAGATTGGGGTGGTTTGTAATAAAAACACACATACAAAGCCTGAAGCATCCTCGTCTCTGGTCTGGTTTATAATCGGAGAAAGGGTGTGTATTGTTACTCAGAGATATGCCAGGAACAGACTACCAGAGCGTGGAGAAGTTTCTTTGGCAGACTACAATTCCCATAATTCCCTAAGCCACAGGATTCAGGGAACTGTAGTCCTCAGAAGTAACTTTTCCAAGTTCTGATAATTTCCAACTTCCACATTAAGCTTTCAGTTATTCCTTTTGGTTGGGAGAACAAAATAAGTAGTAGAATATGCCCCTCACCAAAACACCTTTCGTCTTCACGAGGTGGCAAGGAGAGACAAACAGAAACCTTACACTGCGATTTCAATGTGTACACAAACTGAACAAAATCTGGGAAACTCCCTCTCATCCAAGCCCATAGGATGGTAAATAGGTGTAGGAGAGTGTTATGAATTGCTATTTGTGCACATGTAATAAACTGCAATTAATGGGTGATGAATTAATGAAAGACCAGAGACAACAAAGATCAAAATATTTACTTGTTTTAAAAACCCTGGGTGTTCCAAAAGATGTCATGGTATGCAGTTCTCTCTCCCTCTCTTATTTTTGCATGCACACCCATTAATATATAAAATTATTACAAAAAGAAAGAAGCTGGACTGGCAGACACTCGGTTCTAGACACAATAAACACAGCTGCTCGTAGCCAAGGGCCTTAAGAACGAAGCTGGAAAGAGGCAGAAGGAGGCAATATTAAGAAAACAGACCCCAAGAAGCTGCTGAAAGATTCAGCCTTGTCACAGCAACTGGATGAGTTCCCAGGGAAGCTGTCTCCCCCTCCCATCTCCGCACACATAAGGGCGCCAGCCTTTCAAGATCCCCACTACCGTAGGTGAATCTCTCCTCCAGAAAATTCAGGCTCCCAGCTCCTCATTCCGGGCCTGGTGCCCCCAGTCGGCCGTCTGGCCGATGAGCTAGATTTTCCAGCTCTCTCCCACCCACCCCCAACCCCTTCCAGACCCCCGCTGGGCTTGCTGGCGTAAGCAGCCGCCTGGCCTGCTTGGGCTGCTGGAAACAAGACACTCAAGCCCTTGTTCCAGCTGGCAGTGGGGTCTCCTTTATGATAAGAGGCTTTGCCTCTGTTTTGTATGAATGGGCCATAGGAAGAAGGACGCCACTTGGCCATCGGCCGCTGCTTCAAAAGCAGCTGGTCACATCCTTTTGTACCCTACCCTTGTTTTTTCTATAGGGGTGGGTGTATACACACACACACACACACATACATCCCTGTTCATCTTGGTCTTGAGCCTGTCCCCCCCCCCGCCCAGTCCCTGCTGCACAATTTCTGTTGCGGGACAACAGACGTTGACTGAAACCAACCTACATATTAGTTGGCTTTTCCCACCACCAACACCATCTGCCCACTTCTTTCTCTGTCGTCAAGTTCATTTCTGAGAAATGACTCCTACTCTGCTATGGAAAAATGATGGCAGTATAATGAAAGACAAGATGGTGTCTGTCCATGGAAGAAGAGAACTCTCTATTCCGTTGGTGCTACATGGCTCTGTCTTCCCATATGGTCTTAAAAAAAAAAGAGCTTGTGGAGACCGCAAAGCCTACATGACAAGCCAGACAGAGCCCAAACGCTGAGCTGAAAAGCACTCTGCATGTGCTCAGAGTAAAAGCTTAGGAAAAACAACCTTGGAGGACTACGACTCCAGATTCTCCCCACAAGTCAGCATCAAGATTCTGGCAACCAAAGTGTTAAATATATAACATATATACATATGTGCTAAATATATATATGGATATATATGAGCTCCGTCTGCTATTGATTATTACTAGCGTGGATAAAAATCAATGATTTAAAAAAAAATCAAGTTGATTTAAATCACAATAAAAAAATTAAATCAAATTGATTTAAATCACAATAAAAAATTAAAAAATTAAATTTAAATCATTACAATAATCCAATTCTCAAATTTAAATTATGACTTAAATCATGATTTAAATAGCTCCGATTTAAATCAAATCCACCCTGATTACTCCAAAACAAACAAACAAAAAAGAGGACATACTGGTCGATAGTTGTTGTTAAACGCAACTTTTCTAAGCTCTGCTCCCCTGCTATACTGGTATATGGTTGAGAGCATCAGGAATAACGGCTCCAGGATATAGTATTATAGACCTCCAGCACAAATTAAATGAATTTTGTGTAATTCAAGTTTTGGAGTGTGGTTGGCACATGAGTGACAAGAACTGCCTAATTGAACAGGTAACATCCCCGGGCAGTTCTCAAGAGCGCCTTCTGCTTTGGCACTAACCACCACGCTATTGCGGTAATAAATGCACTTGGCAGCTGGGCCATGCAGCAGTCATCTACATTATCCATAATACCCAACCACAGCCCCAAGGCACTGTGGGAAATTATAGGAGCGGCTCCCAGACTTCCACTGGGTCCACTGAAGCTGACAAATGCTCTTGAACTGCCTTGGAGTCCAAGTTTGGAGCAGAAAAGTGGAGTAAAAACAAGCAAGCAAACAAACACACAGCTAGCAAGGGAAAGAATCCTTGCTGAATTCCTTGTTATTGATGTAGGCCTGTCTCTGCACACAGAGAGACACTGAATAATTTATTTTTTATTTTATTTACTTATTATTTGATTTATATCCCAGCGGCTTACAAAGAAGAATAAAACATTATAAGACACAATCAAATAAAATCATCAATATATGTAAATCAATGACATAATTATATCAACAAATTAGAAGATCAAGATGGAGAAAAAAAACTAAGGAAAAAAGAAAGGCAGGTGTTAATGTTAAAGTTCCGCTTCTAGCAGAAAGTAAGATATTGCCTCCATCCTTGAAGGTAATTCGTGTAAAGTATCTCTTGTTTCCCTTCTCTTTGGCAAACAAAGCACACACCCAAAAAGCACAGGACTGGATGCTACCAACCCATCAAGGGCTTGAAATTCTTGAAGAATTTCTTACATTTCTTGAATTCCTAAACAACAGTCATCCTAGTCCCAGAATTACAAATTTGCACAATTTTGCTAGTGTGTGCGCGTGTACACACACTGCTATGGGTTACAAAGGGCAGATTTTTTTTTGCAAAGCTCTATTGAAAGTACTGGAAAAATTCCTCAACAAGGAGAGGAAAGCCTCAATTCCCTATCTTTGGCAATAAGGACAGGAAAAGAAAATATTTTCATTCCTCTTTGTGGCACAACTAAATGTGTCCACTAAGGACCCACTGACCTTAGAATTTCAGGGCTGTAAGGGACCCCAAGAGTCACCAAGTCTAATTCCTTACCAAATCAGGACCGACCCCACAGCCCAAGAATCCCTAACAGATGGCCATCCAAGCTCTGTTTAAAAACCATTCATGGCAGAGAGCACAACAATGGGTGCACTGGTGAAGGTCCTTTCAATCTGGAGATGAAACCAACCTCTGAGTTACATGCTGGAAAGAAACCAGAATATAAACATTGTGAGCTGCTGGATGGCTCAGTGGCTTATGTCTCTGGCTGGAAAGCCAGAGACTGGGAGTTCATTCCTCACTGTGCTTCCTTGAGAAGGGCTGGACTCAATGATCCATAGCAGCAGTAAGCATCATCATCATCATCATCATCATCGTTGTTGTTGTTGCTGTTATTGTTGTTATTATTATTATTATTATTATGGCTTGAAAA